CTCTTGCAAGCAAGAAGGATAAAGTATGACGTTATCAGCCTGGCCGAGACGTGAAGACGGCAGTCTTTCAACGCCGTTTATGACACCTGAGAAGAACTGTTCCTCGGAACATGCGACACTGAGAAGTCGGTGGGGTCGGCATTCTCGTCAACACGAGTTTGTCCATGTCCATTCGAACAACTTACAACCGTAATCGGACGTTTACGATTAAAAAGACGCGGATCAATTCCGGCTTTGACAATCTTCGTCGTTTACGCGCCGATATCAAACTATGACGAAGAAGAAGTCGAAGGGTTCTATGTGGACTTGGAGAAGTTCTACAGAGAAGACCGCACATTCTTCAAGGTCATCATTGGAGATTTCAATGCGAAGATTGGACCAAGAAGAATGTCGCATTGGGACCCTAGGATTAGAATGGAACAGAGAGGGTGAGCGGCTGTCTGAGTTTATCATGGCGACCAAAACAATCTATGGTAACTCGCAATTCCAGAAGCCCCACTCTCAGCACTGGACGTGGGAGTCTCTTAATGGAGAGTACCATAACGAAATAGACCACATCATAGTAAATAGATGGCAGTAAATATAATGTTTTGCCTAACCGACGTCGCTGTTGTTCAAAAATTCTACGCGGGATCAGACCATCGTCCCCTTAGAGCAAGATTCTATTTCTCGCGAAAGGAAGAAAAAGCCGCTAAATTCCAAAACCGAAGTCCCAGAACCACCGCAAACTAGGGCTTATTCAATTCATTAGTCGGCTGTCGGAAAGATGCCGTTGTCGATAGCATCGAAGAAGAATACGATAGGCTCATTCAACATCTTAACGTTAGCGCTATAAAAGCTCAGAGTTCGAAAGTCACCAAGAGACGTCTGTCTCCAGAAACACTCGAGCTGACACGGCAGCATGGTATCGCACGAGCTGCGGGCGACCGCGAACTAACGTCCGAACTTGCAAAACAATGCAGACAGGCGACAAAAGAAGATCTTAGAGAGAGAAGAGCAACAGTAATAGTCGAAGCTGCAGAGGCTGGGAAAAGCATTCGCTAGGCCCACCGAGGCTTCGCCAGCTACAATACCAAAATGATTACACTCTGGTGCGAAGATGGAACAGTTACAGAGTCCAGAAAGGCAATGGAGAAAATCGTTCACGAATACTACTCAGACCTCTTTGATAGCCACGTCCACTTTCCCCACTTGAAATAAAGAAGAGTGGCTATGTTGCACCACCAGTTCTCCCAAAATGGGACATGCCATTTCGTCGGTGAAAAATCGAATAGCACCAGGTCCGGAGAGGATAAGACCAGAACACCTAAAGAACTTTTCGCCAGTTCTCGTAAACACATTGGCTCAGCTTTTCACACGTTATCTGTCTGAATACAAGGTCCCTACTTAGTAGAAGACCAGCAAGACCGTGTTATTATTCAGAAAGGGCGACCTACACTATATCGGCAACTTTCGCCCAATCTGCTCACTGTCTGTCGTCTGCAAACTTTTCAGTCGAGTCATGCTAAACGGGATTAGCAGAACAATAGACGAAGGACAGCAATGTGAGCAAGCAGGATTTCGAAAAGGGTTTAGTACGATGGACCACATCCACACGCTAACAAGGTTCGTTGAAGCATCGCGAAAGTACAAAATACCGCTCTGTCTCAATTTCATCGATTTACAGAAGGCCTTTGATTCAGTTTAGATAGAAGCAGTCTGGGAAGTCGTTGATAGTCAAAGAGTCCCTACTCAGTACATAAAGATTCTTGCGAGGTGTACAAAAATTCCACGACCAAGGTATCAGCATTCTACAACGATATTAACGTTGACGCCAAAAGAGGAGTTAGGCAAGGCGATACTATCTCGCCAAAATTATTTACCGCCACCCTCCAGAACGTCATGCGAACATTGGAATGGGATAATATGGGAGTGAAAATCGATGGTCGGCAGTTACAGCACCTTCGCTTTGCTGATGATATCGGCCTTATAACACCAAACATTAGCCAAGTGGAACGTATGCTTGACGACTTTGATAAAGGTTGTAGAAAGATTGATCTTCAACTAAATGTCAGAAAAACGATGTTCATGAAGAACGGATTGGTTTCGCATGCCCCATTCTCGCTCAACGGAACAAATTTCTCCAAATGTTCCTGTTATATCTATCTAGGTCTGAAAATCAATATGATAAACGACCTAGCTCCAGAGCTGAGCAGAAGGAAACGAGAGGCTTAGGGAGCTTTCAAGAGCATTGTGGATGTAGTGAAGAGAACAAAGGTCACCCGACTCCGTGCCCACCTCTTCGACTCAGCGGCGCTTCCTGCCCTAACATATGCGTCAGAAACCTGGTCGCTGCGTAAGCATGATGAAAGATCACTCAGCACTGTTAAAGGCGCCGTCGAAAGAACGATGCTAGGAGTATCCCGTTTCACGCAAATAAGGGAAGAGATCCGAAGCCCCAAACTGCGTCAACGATCAAAAATCAGAGATACCGTTCTACACGCCAAACAGTCGAAGATGAGGTGGGCCGGACGCGTAATGCGTATGAATGACAACCGATGGACATGAGCCGCTAGAGACTGGATTCCTCGGGATGTCAAAGGTACTGCAGGAAGACCACCGACGCGATGGTCAGAGTTATTCACAAAAAGCCTTGAAGAAAGATATGATGCTCGACGAGTCCCAGGATCGAGTAGAACCCATTAGGCTACTCTTGCACGCGGCAGGGAAAAACGGAAGATTTTCTGACGCCCGCTCGAGTCACTCGACGATCACCGGGACTACGGGTGATACAGGTGGTACAGGTGGTCCAGGTGATCATCTTCTCGATTAGCTGAAACGATCCGTATGTATGTCAGCACGTATATTGGCGTTCGACTGATAACGTTTCAGCTACATAGTCTTCTTCGAAACGTAGACATATAGTTTCCAGGTTCCACTTTCTATTAACCTCAGCATTGGATTATGAATGCGTCGTTTTCTTGTTCAGCAACCGCGAGATTGTTATGCAGCATGTATTTAGTTCAATGCTAAAACCCACAATACAGCAGTAGCTGACGTTTCGGCAGTATCGCCTTTTTCAGAGCCTGGAAGGGTATACTGATATACAATCTACTACGCCGAACGCTTCAATGACACTTACAAAAAGAAAAAAATCTCTATGTCAATGACATGATCAGCGGCTTTTGGAAAAACCCACCACTTTTAACGTGGCTTCTACTAAGGAAGATTAGAACAACGGATTCTATGAGGACTTTCGGATAAATACCAAGAACTCTAAAATGAATAGCAGGGATGAGTGCCCAGAGGTCACACGCGACCTGGCCCCGTACCTTCGCATCAATTTCTGATGTGGTATGGTGCAGTCATCAACCATATGAGACTATAATCAGCTGTTCTAATCTTCCTCATTGGAAGTTACGTAGAACGCGGTGAGTTTTTCGAGATGCTGTTGATCGTGTCATTGCCATAGAGATTTTCTTCTTTTTGTATGTGTTACATAAGCGTTTGGCCTGGTAAATTGCATATCAGTATACCCTTTCAGGCTCTAAAGAAGGCGATACTGCCGGAACGTCAGCTGCCGTTGTATCGCGCGTTTCTCTATGGAAGTAAATGTATTCTGTATAACAACCTCGCGGTTGCTGAAAAAGAAAACGACGCACTTATAGTCCTAGACGTATAGTTGCTTAGCTTTATTCTCAGTATTCAAAAAGTATCTCACAGTTTCAATGAAAACCTACCGCCCAGGCCAAATGCCACTTTGTCAAAAAGGGCTCAGCGTTCATGTTTTTTAAAGAGTGAGACCGCTCACGTGTTCCCGACGTAAGATGATGAATGAAATTTAGAATCGTGGAGACCTTAACACGTTATGTCAGCTCATTAAAGAGAGTTCGTAAGACTAAGATAAGTTGGCTATTAATTCCAAGGATCACCGAAAGGCAGCCTTTCGGGCAAAGGATTTGGACCTAATCGAGAATTTGAAAGGGGCCTTTTCACTTGAAAAATAGAGACTATTATAACCTACAGTTTACCTTACAAAAGATACAAGTTATCCCAATCTATCATAACGAAACTCTGGTTTTCTGGAGCACACGACATATATTTCTTTTCTTTTTTTAAGCCAAGAGAATTGTACTTTGTGCTCAGAAGTAAATCATCAAACAAGACTTCGTCGAGCAGGACAAAATGATGTTCGCGAACGTGCTGTTCATACCCGTAGTTTCGGCGCTTGTACTAAATTTTTTATTCTTTTTTAGGAACTTGGGTTTTTTGATATTTCGTAAAGTCCCTCCAATTCTAAACATTTTACAAAACAGCAGAACAACTTGTAGAAGTCATACGTAATCATAGGGCAATAGAGGAAAGATTCTTCTAGAAATCTATAAAGTTATCAACTTCTCAAATACTACTTTGGTCTAGAAATTGCCGTCAGTTGCTAAAATAATCACCCTCTGAAGTTATTATAAGATAGTTCAATTATGAACGTGGGAAATAGGTAAAAACTTTTACTTAGTGTTGTTCTTTTTCACGGCACGGTACGATGTGATGTACGACAGTATGAATACTGAGATGTGAACAAAACTCGGAACTTCGGGTGGCCTTCGGATAGGCAATTATCCTTACTCAAGGCTCGTCCACTATTCCCTAGGATAGTCGAGACCCTTTCCCCCACCCTAGTTTATCTTTCTCTCAACCCTTTCCCACTGACAGAAGATGATTGCTGACAGCTCCGATAGAACAAAAATACAGCTGAGAGAAAGGCAGAACAAGGCCTCGATTAGTGTGGGAGATAGCACGTGAGCTCCTAGAAAAGATAGTCGTGGGTTCGAACCCCAAATGCAGTTCCGAGTTTTGCTCACATCTCAGCACCCTTATAATAGAAAGCATTCTACTCCATAGAATACATGAAAGTATGAAGAAGGAGATTCTTGTTTTTTCTGGAAGAAAATCACAAGTATTATTCAATTCATTTTCGACGAGCAGTGGTTTCCTACCATCTTTAAAGAGTTTCGATCGATTTTCTGAAATTTCGCAAAAGATATTACCGTTTGCGTTCAGACGGATGCCGTGATTTTGATTCGAATTGCCGCGATTGGGTGGCGACATCAGCTAGAAGCTGCTCAGCAACTGACTATATTGTGAAAAGTTGTCGAAGATCTTGCGGATTATGCGGTCTACCTGAAAGAAGTCAGTAATCTTTCTTGTGTTTTCGTCGATCGATGATTTCTATATGAAATTGATCGCTTTTCCTAACTTAGATCACTTATCATTAGCTCTCATCAAACTTTTTTGATCAATAACCATTCGACGCACATAATCTTATTAGGTGGTAATCGTTGGGTCGTTATCGTGAAAAAATTCGGTAAACTGTTTGTGTGATCGACAATCTCTGAAAATAAGCGACTGGTGCGAATTTAAGTGATAACGTTATTCAAAGTGATGAAGCCAGTAAGGAACAATCGCTCATTTGTGTTTTCGTTTCCGTATCTTGGAAACTAGGGCTTTTTATTTCGTTTTGAGGCATCTCAAAAGTTTGATGATACGGGTGAGACATTCAGGACATCCACTACAAAGGCGAAACAATTTCCTTCGCATTCATAATCCATAGTTTCCATTCTAAAACTGTTTCTATCGAATACAAATATTCAATTCTCACCGACTGTTTGTGAAAAATGGCAGCCAATACGACAAACCAAAACAGTCAGAATTTCCGTGATCAACAGCAGTCTGAAAATTAGCTACTCTACGAAGATGTCAGCTCTTCATCACCTCTCCGTATCCGTTGTAGCGTTCTCGGACTACCCTAAGTTTTGAAAAATTGCTTCAAAATCATTGACTTCAACATAACGATTGAGACAACAGTCCACTGCTCGCTCCAGACCGTTTACGATGAAATAAACGAATTATTCTATTGAATATAAGCACAAAGAGGCAGAGATATGAGCAAAGCTCAGAGCCTCGGGTGGCTTCGAACCACCGTTTACAATTTACATAAACTCATGTAAAAACCACCACATCAATCGAGACTCTTGCTTTGCCTTTCTCTTAGCAAGTGTTTTTTTAAAATCTAACTGTACTATCCCTCCCAACGGTTTACCGCCTCATCGTGGCTGGGAGGTGTTCCTGGGTGTCAAACTGCGATGTACGGTGGGGGATTCATTCCCTTGCAGGCTCTCCCAAGCTGAGGAGGAGTCCGGCGCTTCCATCAAGAAACCGAGCTAAGAGTAAACCAATACCAGGATCCACCACCATCCTGGTATCAAAGTTGAATGGTGGTAAATCTTCCTCTGATCCACAAGGGCTGCAACTGCCCGTGGTGGTGAAGACCTGGAGCAGACTTTGGCCAGGCTGACCTCGGGACTTCAGGGAACCATAATGGCTTAACCAGCAAATCTCCGAAAAGTGGAGATTATGCTGGGGCCCGCACAACCAGTGAGGACGGGCCATTCACGTATCAAGTAAGTAACTGTACTATCACTCATCAAGAGGAATAATCTGGAGAGCACAAATCGGAATTGAACCTAATTAAGCTGAAGCCGCGGTGGAAGTAACAGTCTCTTAACATTTATTTACTGCACACTCCTTTTTCATGTCAGGATATTACGTGAAATGCAACCACAAAGATGCCGAGATATGAGCAGAATTCGGGATATTATTTAGACTTTTAACCAGCTGTGTGGAATATCCAATAGAAGAAGAGGTCGCGGAGTTTGCTTATGCACATCTCCTTTCTCATTTATGCTTAATGGAGCGAATTAAAAAAGGGACAAAGCTCTCGGCGTTGAACAATCCTCGAAGATGTGCCACGCATTCGACTTCATTAACCATCGTTAGAGGTGATTTGATGCATATGTGGCCTTTAAAATGTCTCGCTGTGGCGTACCGTTCTATCAAGCCATGGTGCTATTCCCTTGGAGAGGTCTGGTACCTATTTGCCTACTCCGCGAAGATGGAGGTCTCGATGAACCTGGTTCCCACGGATCGCTTCCATCACATGTGTATTGCAGGGGGCCTCTGATCTCTGTGCTACACACGCTATCTAGGAGCGAATTAAACTAAATATTTTTCCTGTGCACACTCGTGTCTGAGCGTCAATATCATAGCGACTGTGTTTCAGAGCGGAGCAGCAGGCTTCTAGAGTTTATAGAGGTATAAGAGTACTGCGAGCAACGCAAAGAGCAACCTTTTTGTACACCTCAGACCCAAAAATTCCTTCTATATTAATATACAGCTTTAAATTTGCATACATTCAATCCTAACTGGAATGGCACTCGTGAATTCATATGAGAAGTGTTTTAAACCTCAAGATGTTTCTTTGTGATAAGTTTTAAGGTTTTCCAGTTTGAGACTATGTTTAATGTCACGTCGTTGAATCGGGTCTAATTAGATCAGAAGGAGTCGGATTTATTATCTTTAAAATCGTTGACAAATTGTCAAAAAAGGACGCTATTCCACTTACACTGAATACGATAAAACAAATTCTTTCAATTTTCTTTAATTTGGAGCGTTTTCTGCATAAATCATGTTGATGGCATTTTCGGTCGGAAGTGGTAACGCAGTGGTAGTGATGCCATCTGAAACGAGCATGTCCTTCCAGTTCGATCCTTTCTTGGGCCCACGAAGTAACCCATTCTTGTGGGCCCGCAAATTGGTGCTAGACTTCAATTGGGAAGCTCGCACCGATGTACAAGACTTAAGAGCGCCACGTCGCGTTTATTCCAGGATTCAATGGAGATTGAAGGACCAGTATTCGAGCAGATTTATTAAGAAGACCAACATTTCTCAAGCAGTAATGGAGATCACACGCAAAAAATGGAGATGCCTGCGAATGGTAGATAAGAGGAAACGATTTGAATGGAGGAAGTCCTGGGATCTGCAGGATATATGCGATTTCGCGTTATATAAAACAAAGAGGAGTCGTAAATGACTTTCTTGGTTCATGGCAAGTATGTATCCTTTGCAGAAAACAATGCGGTTTATACATTATACTCTGTCAGTGTTTATGACCAAATTATGCAATTCTTCAGCGATTTTCTGGGATTTATTCAATAGTCGCAATCTTTCACTCAATGAGAGTTCAAGGAAATCTTTGTGAAGCATTGTAACCATCACCTATCGTTTATTTCGTACTATTGAATCATGCTTATTTCCTGCATTACCTACAGCGTACAAGTTAATACACAGAAGAATGCTGGTGAACATGGCCGATTGAATAAGTAAACAGACAGCATGTCACAAAGTGAATAGTTAGGCATACAGTTGCTGCTTTTTGTTCTCACATACAACGTCTTGGTACCTTCGCGAATGATGATTAAAGAGTGGCTCTATGGATAAAGGGTAGTTGGGTCTGGCGCTAATAATTTCCTTAAAATGTGGAATTTCCCGAGTCCATCCGTTGGTTCCTAGATGTCACTGAATACACATTTGGCCTGTACCTCTCTCACGTCGGTGATTTACTAAGCCAATGTTTGCTATTCTCTCAAAAAAACTCTGGTAGTATTTCACCGACCTTGAAAGAAAGGTGACCTTAGCACGGAGCATAGGACCGAACCCACGAGCGCGGATCTATTGCAAGACACCTTTAACATATTCAATACGCCAGCTGTGATATTTAAGAAGGATTTTGGAAATCCATAAAATAGAAGTGCATAAAAGGAAAAAGGACATTCTTTGTTTTACAGATAGCTTGCGTAAATGGAATCTAGCATTTGAGCCGGTAGAGCAGGACAAAATTCCTTTGAATCTCCTCTTGCAAAACGTGGCCCTGAAGTGCACCAAAAACAGTGTGTGTTCTTTCGTGTGTTCCTCAGATGACTATGAAATCGACTGAGTACCACTCTTTGCAATTATGAAGGCAAACGGGGTGTGACTGACATGTTCTAGAGTCATACACTCAATAACTAACAGAACCACAGGTGATCATTTATTTTGAGCCATTCATATTTTGGAACCGACTATTTTATTGGTGCGTGTAGAGCAACAGCTAAAGGTGCTCTGCAATATACGCACAGCTTTTGGTTTGATCCCGCGTTCCAGTGAAACCAGGGCCTTGAGATCGAGTTGGTCACATAGTTGTCTGAGAAGATAAAAATACTGAGTTCATTTATCGTTAGGCTATCATAAGTCAATGTACAGGCCAAATATGCACCCAAGATGGTGCAACGACTGGAATCCAGTGCATGTTAGTGTGATCATTTGTTTATCTTTTATTTATTTACGGCCCCGTGATCGATGACAAGTAGTTTTTTCCAAGTCCTATCACTTTAGCGAAAAAATCCATTACCGAGAATATTACAGGCGGCTTTTTCTCGAAATTCATGTACTCACATTGCTATTGTAATTAGGCCTGTCTGAAATTATCAGCGTCATGCGTTCTCTTTAATCTCGTGATTCTGGAATTCTGAAAGCCGAGATCGAGATGAAAGTCAACTAATTTGAGCAAGGGCGATTCGATATGTCGTAGAACGGACATGCCGCTGTCATAATTAGCCTGGTTTTCTTTTGTTTTATAATTTTTTTTGCGATGGAAGTAGTTCTATTGCTCTGAGCCAATCGTTAAGCTGGTTGATTTGTGCCGATAGATTTCTTTAGTAGCTAGTCGCTCAGAACTGCTAATATTTCACTGCTTTACTTCGGTTGTACCGCAGTTTTTACTTTCCTTTTTGTTATAGGTTGTCGTTCAATCGTGATTTGCTAGTGAGAGAACGATTTAATGTAGTCCTCATAACTCCACTTCCAGAGTGTCGTTTAATAAATGTCAAGTCTGGTTAGAGTGCAGTACGCATTGAACCGGTACCCTCTTTCGATTCCGCTCCCTGGGTACACCAAATCTTTCATCCTGCCGAGATTGAGGAACTGATACAAGAGGGAGGACTAAATCATTAGCCTGGCAAATCGATAAACATGTCATTGTATAGGCTAACCATGCATTCACTTGCTTCTGCGATGTTAAGAATAAACACGGATACATAGCGCATCCGTAATCGATTGATGAACATCGAATTCTTTACACTTTTTATACGTTATTCAGTAAGAAATGAATAACAAATGAAGGAAATACTTTAGAGTACGATTTACGACGACTGCCATCACAACTAAGACCGCTCGCGTTTCTCGTCGGCAAATGGCGATCCGAACACGACGGCAAGGCGATTTTTCCCACCATTCCAAAATTCACGTATGGCGAAGAAGTCGATATCAGTATTCCCGACGATGCACTTCAAGCCCAAAAAGCTTTGAATTACACGTACGCCATAAATTTATTGCATTCTTAACTTTTACAGTGTTGACTTATTTAGACAACTAAACATAAAACCTTAGTGGCGCCGATGATGGTCAATCACTACGAGAGTCAATTTATCGCTGAAGTCGAAAGATATTTTCGCCCAGGCGACCATTTCATTATTTTCATTCTAAAAAGTGGTCATAGAAAACTTTTGTCAGTTGTTTAGCAAATTTAAAGCGACACCAGTACGAATTTTAATCAGTTTGTGTTTGCTTTTTCTCTGTAATTTGACAATGACTTGAAATGAAGCTAAATTTATCCAGCTTCGTTTCAAGCGGTTGTTTTGTTCACTTAATTCAAGCTCAAGTTGCTACCTTATTTTGGTGATGAATTGAATTTTATATATTTCGAAACCGACTTTCCCTGAACCTCGGTATCACTAATCAATATGTATTCTTTCTTTGATGAGCTTACACGAGGTTGATAATGATGTTTAACGTTTCGGCTAACGTTTCGACGTCTTCGTCTTCCTCAGAGCCGATGATCCGAGTCGATGGTCCTCGCTTGTTATTCGTCTCGACGTGGCAGCCTGGCCTTCGTGTCGAGTTAGGTCTTCTTCAGTGAGCCATCTCCTCGAATGAGGCATCCTTACTCAGTGATGCCCTTTTATACACGATGCTGATGGTCGATATAATGATAATGCCCGGTGATAACAACTTGTTTTTCTTCCGGACATCAAAGAAAGAATACATATTGATTAATGATACCGAGGTTCAGGGAAAGTCGGTTTCGAAATATTACTGCGCTTTGTGCTAGCTGATAACAACACCGACTTCTGCACGATGTGCGCAATGATGTATGTCCGGAAAAAAAAACAAGTTGTTATCACCGGACATTATCATTATATCCACCATCAGCATCGTCTATAAAAGGGCATCACTAAGTAAGGATGCCTCATTCGAGGAGATGGCTCACTGAAGAAGACTTAACTCGACACGAAGGCGAAGCTGCCACGTCGAGACGAATAACAAGCGAGGACCATCGACTCGGATCATCGGCTCTGAGGAAGACGAAGACGTCGAAACGTTAGCCGAAAATAAACATCATTATCAACCTTGTGTAAGCTTATCAAAGAAAGAATACATATTGAATTTTATATATTTTACGTCGGTTTTTCCTTAGGGAAAAGGATAGGTAGTAGTCAAAAGATGCCGGTACGCTATCACATAACCTTGACTACCAGCTTTCTCATCAATCGTTGAATGGCTCGAATAAGTGCTTGTACGGTCTCCACTCGACCATTTTGCGTTTGAACATCGTCCATTAAATTCTGCTAGCTCAAGAAACAAGCAGGGTACCACGCTCACTTTTCTTCCAAGATCGTAGTAAAGTTGATAGACATTCTGGTCGCGTAGTCTTCCTGCTGTGCGTTCGACATTACTGAAACCCGTTCAACACCGCCTATGGTGTCTAGATGTTTTTGATTATGAAGGAAGCTCCCAATCGTTCCTCGAAATTTTGTTTTCCTTCTATGTGATTCGGGGTACTCTTGACATCATATATTCGGCACTGCTGTCAATAATTTTGCCGGAACGAATTTATGTAAGAGAAAAATTGGACTCGAATGCTTGTCATGCTCCGTGTTTTTCCTTTGGTTCGCTATATCGTTGATACTTTTGCGAACTTAAAAGCCCCTTATTTCTAGACCTGGTCCTAAACCGTTCCTCATGTTGAGTTTCGCGACCACCCTACTTAACTGGGCCACTAGGAGATACTTGCTTCGTTGGGTGTGAACAAAAAATGGGACCGAAAATAAACGCGTATCTCAAGAGCGTCTTTTTCCACAGATTCATCCGACGACCGTCACGTATTGAAAATCGGTACGGATTCATGACGCTTAGCTAATGCATGGTGTTATGCAAGCTACGAGAGGAATTTCTTGGTTGTACGACTCCCTTCGATTTTCCGACGTTGAGCAATTCTGAAATTTCTACCATTTTTATCTGCAACAACATGGCTGCCTTACTGAATTGAGATAAGCTTCCTGCTCTCGATTTGAAGATCTTCGGACGATCTTCAGGCAAATCTAAAGTTCAGGTAAAACGATTTTGATCTAGTAGAAGGCATGCACCTCCCTTCAAAACTTCAAAGTTGATGGAAGGGCTATTTTTAATGAGTTCTATGTCAACATCTCCACTAAAATTTCGCAGTTTTCGAACATCACTGTGAGCATGCAGATAACGATCTGTCAAGTGGTATTGTGTCGTCTAAATTCTTCATCTCCCCTCGACAATTTGAGGCAAAAGTCTAAAATGGGAGTTGGCGCAAGCAAAGGTAGATGGACGGCAACTATATCATCGGTGTTTCGCCACTATATCGTTTGTATAAAATCAAAGAGTAGCTTTCGGTAGTGAATAAATGAACAAAGGATGAAGCATTCGGCATCGACCCATCCGTGAGAGATGCGCAATGCATTTTACCCCATTACTGGTATCGTAGAGACTACTGCATACACATCTGGCCTCACAATTACTTCCATGACTCTATTGGTGTCTCAAGTCAGTGGTGCTACCCTCTCAAACAAGTCTGCTACCAATTTACGGACCCCGAAGGGATGGAAAACTTGATGAGTCCGTAGCTCCTAATGGAACCAATGTCCACGTCTATATTACAAGACACCCCTTGACCATCGCGTTACGCAAGCCCACACGATTTTCGATTCAGTTTGAAGAAGACGATGTGCATAAGAAACCGATTTTCTTCGCCTTAATATTGTTTTTTCCCGTCCATTAGTACTTAGTCGTTGTTTCTTCTATTCCACTTAAAGATGTTATTAAACGTCTCTCCACTTGTTGATCCATAAAATTGTGGCTGTGGTGACTATAAATTTCATATTCAAAAGAAACGATCCAGTGAAATGGTTGATTCTCATTGAATTTAGCTCTCACGCTTGGTCGGTAGATAAGACAGCTGTTTGGAACACAACGATAAGGTTACATTCATTCTATTTCAGTGATTTGACATCTGCTTTAACACTAATCACTCGTTCTAATCACTAGAAGCTCTCTTACATTGAAAAAATTCAAGCATCATCTTCGTTTTGATATTTTTATGGTGGAGATGAGGTTTTCCAACTTGTATTTTTTGTCTTTTCTAACAACTTCAGTTCATAAATATTTATTATAGACGTTTTCGGCTCGATTGTCTGGTGCATGTAACAGTGTCTATTCACGAAAGCCTTGGTGTTTGTTGAAAATTTGGCTTTTTCTGAACAAAGGTGAACCATGTGGGCTATCTTGCTACTTTCTTACTTCACACTAGATAGCTTAATTGGATTTCAGATGTAGCCGAATTTTCAGCTAGCACTTCTCGTTAGTTTGATTACTACTACTTCCTTTCATTGCGGGGGTATAGGGGAAGGTTATGGTTGGAGGTTCGGTGGTTTTTTAGAGCTTTCCTAAATTTTTTCTTAACTTTTGATCTCTATTGAAGAATATTTTAGTGCTTTTGCATGGTCTATTAATGAAAAGGACGAGTTGCACAGTGAATCTGGCTATATTTCCGTTAAGCCCAATACCCAAGAAGCAGCTCTCACCACAGTTATGAATAACGGTCAGCTTCACTACTTCATTTATGCTATACTGAACGTCACTAGATTTTTTACGTGAATTTGCTAGATTTGTTAGAAAGTAAATAACTAACAATCTGCCATAGCATTTTATCTATGTCACATTTTACCACAAGATTTATTAAGCCAAAGGTCTAAAAAAATGGTTTAACCTGTGAAGAATCTTATATATTTTACAAAACATTGCTAAACATATAGCGCCCAGCACGAGTCATCCATGACTCATTTCCCTTCTGATCGCAGATTCCTTTTCCTTGCTTTTCGCATCCAATTGACAGCTTCCCCACTACCTATGTTGTATCAACTGTTCTTGTTTGGAATTAATTTTTACGAAATCTAAATTTACAAGAAGAAAACAACGGTTTTTGGGCGAGTTTGTTGTCCTGGCTAGGTCCCATGGAGGACAATGGATGTTAGGTAAGTACTAGGTTGTTTCTGCCGTGCTTGCATATTGAAACTCAACAATTAATGACACTTCCTCGCTATAACAAGATAGCGAATTACTACGGAGATTTGTATAAACGAAACCGTATAGTAGGTGTGCATTCGCGTTACCGAGATTTGTGATTGGGAAAAGGTCAAACGTTCACACAGTGAGTTTTTTTTCAACTGGTTTGCATAGTCTTTGGTAAAGTTAGAGTTTCTCAACTTTTATTCTCATATCATTCATCTAATGTTTTAAACATTGCGCTCAAAAACATTTATTTAACAATCTCCAATCTTTACGATTTCTGTCATACAATCCACAACATCTACACTATACATTTTGCCCACACAAGTCCCTGTCATTATAAGTTGTAACCCTTACGCGCGTGCTGCGCGGTGGTCCGAGGCACCATACAAAACATATGGCGTCGATCCCCGCTGCCCGGCTCACCGAGCACTCCAACCTTCCGGATTCGGCGAATTAGCACCAGACATTTCTGCGAAGATAAGAAAATTAACTCGGTTCATAGGCCACCGTGAGTAATTTTAAAAGTCAGATATACAGTTAATGGCCTCTAACGGTGTTTAATGAAGTCGAATGCATGAGGCATGCCTCAGGTTGATCAATGCCGAGAACTTATTCTTATACTTAACCTTTGCGATTTACGATCTTTAGATGCTAAATCCTGACCGACAGAACCCGCAGCAACCTTTGTATTATACACTATTAATGAGTGCTTTTGGAACAACCTAAACGAAAATATTTGTTACATTGGCTGCATCTAGCTTCCAACTACTTGGCACGCATGCGGAACCTACTTGGAGTGTGAGATTTTCGTAAAATCTTCTTTGTTCATGGTTATCTTTTAGAAGGGTAGTTTCTTGATAATGTAGACATTTGCGATTTACACATTGAATTCGAATTCAAACAGACGTCGACCTTGAGTTCATGCATGCATTGCGATCCTCTGCACATCTTCGATGTAATTCCTCCTCCGTTTATTATGCATGCCTGCAACAAATGAAAGAGTAATCCCATTCTACCTATACAGAGAAAAGCGGTGCGTAGCTAAGTCAAAAAGAAAAAAATATGTACGTAACACTTGCTGATTCTCCTAACAAAAAGATAAATCATAAAGCTCTCGGCACTGAGCAATTCCTGAGGGATGCGCCACGCAATCGACTTCATTAAGCATCTTTAGTGGTGACTGAACGCGTATTTGGTCTTCGCGATGACTCATGGTCGCCTACCGATGTCCCGAACCAGTGCTGCTGTTCTCCCAGATAGGTCTGGTATTTGCCGATTCCGGAGGATGGAGGGCTAGGTGAACGAGAGGAGTGGGGATCGATCCGATGTGTATTGCAGGGCTCCTCTAACCACAGCGCACGTCCTTCCGTGACATATGAAGGACAATTCCCCTTTTTTCTCTATTCCTAAAGCTGACGTTTCGGAATATTTCGTCTTCCTTAGAGCCTGGAAAAATCAACTTGACTGCAGTCATGTAACGCTTTTGTGAGCCTCGGTGATAGCCTCGTGTGTTCTTATCAAGAAAATAGCGTATTATCGATCAAAGCCGAGGTTAGTACGAAGTCAGCATCTGGCCGCTGGTGCTCACGAACTGTTCCTAGGCTATAGCTTCCGTTCATCAAGAGTAGGTGGGAAGGCTAACGTTTTGTCTAGTGAGTATTATGATAATACTTGATTTATCTTTCTAACTGAGCACCATGACGTTGCCACAATTCTGTTGTACCTTCGGTTCTCCGTTCCCTAACTTCTGACATACTTGAAAAGTCCTCTCCTATTCTTTCTTCATATGCCCATCATAGGGTACCGATTATGTTTTCTACAAAAGAGACAATGAGATAACAACTAAGGGTGTAAACATGTCTTGCCTCATCCAGTACACTTTCCATCAGAGCGCCATAACCACTCGTTCCAACCTCATCACAATACTTAGGTGCCCCCATACGGCCATACACCCCATACAGCATAGTTCTAAATATATAGCAGCTTTCAGTTTGTTATTCGAATAGCTTTGTGGCTCTCGTGTTAATATATTGGTGGAATACTACTCTACCTCTAAATGGAGCTCGAGAAAGAAAATTCGCCTTTGTGGAAAGCCTGTAGACCATTATGCAATTCATAGTACCAAATTTAATGAAGTAGTATAGGTGAGCCAGCAGCTCTTCAAATATAATCATTAACTTAACCTTTTTTATTTACTGCCTACTATAATTTTTAACGGCAGGGTAGGATGTGAAATACAACTAAGATAATGCTGAGATATTGGCAAAACTCCGGACCGCAGGTGTCTGCTGTGGGGAACGAACGCGATTTTGTCCTTTCCGGTGACAACGATCTATCTATCGATCGGAGCTATCAGCAATTACCCGTCAGCGGGATAGATTTGCGGAGCCCAGAACTAGCTGAGAGACAGGCGAAACGAAGGACCCGCATAGCGTGGTGGTGGGCTCGTTGCTCCCCGAAAAGGACAATAGCGCGTTCGTTCCCCACCGCAGAAACCTGCGGTCTGGAGTTTTGCCAATATCTCAGCATCATAGAAGTTATATTTCCCAACATACCCTGCCATTAAAAAAGTAGCCGGTAAATAAAGAGGTTAAGATAGTCATTAACATTGCTTGAGATCTAGAAGAACAGCATCTGTTGGAAGCTCTCTTATACTCTCTCTGCTATGACATCTTGTTTCCCACCTTAAGGCAGAAACCGATGAATGTTCTCACTCGTCTCTTTCTTTCGCAATTAGATCCCAACTTTCAACATAAACAATTTCTAGAAACTTTCTAACGGTTCTGTACACCCAAACAAAAATTATATGTTCACCCCTTAGCTCTGTATTCGACAATCCAAAGAGTGTACATTGCTTGACCAAACGCTGTTTCAAATATTTCTTACGAATGACTTTTTATTAACCTCAACATTGATCATATAAATCTCTATAATATTGTTGAGCAAACACAAAGTGTTATTTTATTCCTTATCACGACGTTTCGTCGGATTTTGCCTTCCTCAAAGCCTAGAAAACTAGAAAAAGTCAAGGACCTTTGAAGAAGGCGAAATCAACCGAAACGTCAGTTTAATAAAGCAACACCTCGTGTTTGCTGAGCAAGAGTATACAGAACTGACTGAACTAAAAAAAAACACCGCAATACTTGTGCCCAACATATACCGCAAAACTGATTAGCAAAGGCTGTAAACTTTGTCGTAGATGAGATTTTTTTCATCGTACACTAAGGCTAGAAGTATTCCGTAAACATGGAAAACTACACAGAATAACATACAATAACAAATGGAAGACAAGAACAAAGAAACAACAAACAATAAGAAATGGGACCGTAGGACTAAAAGCACAACAAAACCTTCTGTTTTTCAAACCATGTGTTGCCGACATGATACACATATGACTCATCGAATGTGCAACAAAAATAGGCAGCAGGGCGAAAGTGAGTGGAAGGCGTTATGAGTGAATCTCAAAGCTGTAACCAATAAAAGTCCACGCTCATATACACAGAAGACTTCAAACTTTTGGTATGAACCACTTTATGAAAAGTAGATGATTATCTAGTGAGGTTTCAGGGTTTGTAACAGTTGAAGAAGGTCCGATCAAAAGCTCACAAATCAGATTCCGATTAAAGGACGTCGGCAGGATCAGTTTTAGCCGGGATCTGCCCGTACATGATGTCGGCAACAAGTTTCATTTTGAATATGTTCAGTGAATGATTTTGCTTAGGTTGATCAACTTTACTGTACACTGATTTCAGCTAATCAGGGAATGGACGTTGTTGGACAAGAACACGCTGCAAGCACGACTGAGTATGGAGACGTTGACACATGGGATGCAAGAGCACACATTTATTCGATACCATAAGATTGCGCCTTAGATTTTTCTTTTTCATCTTTTCCAAAAATGATAATAACGATAAAATTTCGTCACGAGACGTCGAAATTTTCTCATTGTTATAACATGAACTAAGATGAGACGACTGTCAACGAGGATTTGCATCCGAAGCAATGAAATTCATAGCGGAGTACCTATTAAAAGTAACCTAGTTGAGGATTGTACAAAGCAGTCATCCTAAAGAATTCCAAAGAAGGGTACCTTAAGGCGTCAAACAACCAAGTTATTTATGTTTATCTCACCGCATTAGAAAATGGTAAGGTATATGGAGTTCTGTAATTTTTGAATTTCAACGCTAATATTTAAGCGCAGCTTCATTGTACCTTTCCACAAAACAGCTTCTCTCCGTGTCCCACTGTACTCGTACATTAAAATTTCTCTTGTACTTATTTGATGAAGTCTTTTAGTGCATTCACCTCCTAATGCCTTCGATAATGTCGATTCTGTTAACGTATAATTCAATTTTGCAATGGGTATGTCGAAGAAGAAAACATCATTGGCTCGGAAAAGTGGACGCAGAGTTGAAAGCTCTTCGTCCATTAGTTCTGTCCTCGATGCGCTTTTAAGTGCTCCATTTCACCCACCTCATTCCACCTTGTCGAAGATCCTTCTTCAAGAACAATGTTTTCATAAAACCATAGAATCTTTCTTGTAAATTTGCTCAGCAGTTCAGGAAGAACCTTTATCCATTGAATAGTGACACTTTGACCGTCCATAATGGACTCATTTTGAAGTGCTCTAGAGCGGTTTTTTTTTCTCGACACCAGACATTTGCTCTTTTGGATGAAGTGACTAATTCATCTGGACGTCGAAAGGCGGTCATTTCGTCTTGAAATTGGCAAATTCTTGTGGGCGTTGCGGATTCTCTTCCTAACCCATCTAAATCCAACCATTTTTGCCGCTCTTCAACTGGTTAAGTTTTTCTGTCGCATCACTTCTGCGCACTACAAGTTCAATTTGACCTACATACGATCTTCTCGTTGCTATGAGATCGAAACTAGTAAGGTTAAAAAGCCTTACTCATCATGACAAAGTCGTGAAGCTTCTCAGGCCTTCGTTTCATTCCATTAGATGCATCCTGATGTGAAATTCCTCATATGTGCACCTGGAGTCCTCTTCGCATTCAAATGGCCGGTGATAGCAAACTAAAATGTATGATATTCCCTATGTAACTTCCATGTATAACTTTTTTAGCAGCCTTTTCCTATTAGCTCTAACGAAGATTGCTGCCCTCAAATGCACTAGAGCCATTAATTTTCCATTTTAGTCAAGATCTTCCTCTTTATTTTTCTTCGAAAAGCACCCACGTGTAGCTCACTATGCTTTGCCATAGGACCTAGGGTACAGTGACGGGACGCATCGCCGTGTCAGATAGTGTGATATTTAAATGTTGGCAGACACCGCCACTGTGTAAAGTCACTTGACCGTAGCATTTTGGCTCAATCAAAGGGAAGAATAAAAGGATAAAGGATAAAGCTCTCGGCGTTTATCAATCCTTGAGGGATGCGTCGTGCATTCGACTTCACTAAGTACCGCTGAAGGTGATTGATGCATATCTGGCCTTTACAGTGACTCGCGGTGGCCTACCGATGTATCGAGCCAGTGATACTATCCTCCTAGACAAGTATGGCACCAATTTTCCGACCCCGAGCGGATGGGGGCTTGGTGGGCCATGAGCGCAGGGATCGATTTCACGTATGTATCGCAGTGGCGCCTTCAACCACTGCGTCACACGCGCCTAGAGAAGGATGCAATCCAATATGGTAAACGTAACAAGAATGGTAAAGTAAATCACCTACGATTCCTTAGATGACCGTACAGTTTATTCATACACTACTAGAGTCTACTTTCGTCATTCAGTTTGCTCGAAGTAGACGAAGAGCACCTCACATTTTAAATGTGATCTCTCATTCTTAGTGTTTCCAACGAGATAGTGCCCATAGTCGCTAGCCGGCCTTTGCCTTGTCAAATGTAGGCCATCAAATGAGAATGTCAAGCATCCTTCAATAATATCTTCTCTTGCTAGGCGACGAGTTGCAGGTGTAGATGGTAGTTTGGCACTTACTCGGATAAATCAATGGCTTAGGATTAAAGCAAACATTTTTTCCTATACCATTAAACAGATCCTGGGTTTCCCTACGTGACTGCAATCTTCTGATTGTTCGATTTCGTCGGTGCTCTACAGAAATCTCTAATTTCTAAAAGAGAGGAGGACCGAGAAGCTGGCAGATCGATAGACCGCCCTTCTGCTTGATATCGATCCAGGCGGCTGCAGCCCAAATAGAGCTTCTCCCTCCGAGTTTACCATTTCCACCTCAATCAGCTGTGTGACGCTATTCCTCTCATTCAACTTAAAGTCATCATTCATCTTTTTTGCTTCCAGTTTCGGTCTCTAGAGAACGTACGAATTTGTGTCTGTGCGTTTTCCAGATCTTTCAGTTCCAGAGTATGGTTTTACCTTTCTTAACTTTCGTTTCTGTTATTTCGTAGAAACGGTTTGCATTAAAAATTAAAGAAAATAAAATTTTTATTAGTGGAGAGTATTGGAATACATAAAGAAGCCGTTATAACTGTGGTATCACAAGATCACAAATTAGGGCTCGGATTGTTACTCGTATTCATTTTTCTTGGTCTTAGGTTGCTGTTTCAGAAAAGGTATAGCCTTGATAAGTTAGTGAAAAGTTTGTTTTTCTGACTTTTTGCTTCTCTTCTTCATCAGTTTCGATTTCTTTAATAGTCATAGTACACTGCTATCCAGATCGAACACCACCATCTGTTTTTACTTACTTACAATTTTTATTCTCCAATAAGTAGGTAGACTTTACACCAACTTTTTCTTCCGAGGTACTTAATTTGACCAATTTATCCATAAAGGGCGCGTGTGGCGCAGTGGTTGAAGGCGCCACTGCGACACATACGTGGAATTGATCTCGGAGCCCATGGCCTACCAGGCTTTCAGTCCCTCCGGGGTCGGCAAATTGGTGCCAAACTTGTCTAGAAGGATAGCAGCACTAGCTGAACACATCTGTAGGCTAACGAATCATTTTAAAGACCATATATGCATTCAATCACCTCCAAATGATGCTTAGTGAAGTCGTATGCACGGTGCATCCCTCAGGGATTGATCAACGCCGAAAGCTTTATCCTTTATCCTCTTATCGGTGAAACCTCTGAAGATTATACAGTAAATTTTATCAGAAATGTAGTTTTTTTTAGATATTTTTGTTTACGAGTTATGTTGGAAACTTATGAAAATGAGGCTGGAATTATATTCATTGGTTACATAGACGGGTTAAAAAAAAATTGAACAAGAAATGCGGTACGACTTTTCGTCATTCTTTCAAAATTTTTTATTAGCGACGTATAGGTCTCATTATGTAAGTGTTTTATAAATTTAACTATAATAGGATGACGTGCAGCACGGCGTGGCGGTGAACGCGTTAGTTCTAAATACGTAAATAATGTCTAATTACTAAATGAAACTGCGAACATTCTCTTCGAAGCCAGCCATATTTATATTATTCTATTACTATAAAGATCTTTTCTTATAGAGGAAACATTTTTTGTAAAAGCAGATTCTTTTCTCTATCAACCTAATATTTAAAGAAAAAACATAAACTGATATTTGGCAGTTTAGTCAGGAGTACCAGTTAAAGTGGCCATGGCTCACCACGCCCTCCATCCATCCGAGATCGGCAAATTGGTACGGGATTTGTCTGGTAGGATAGCATCACTGAGCTCGATACGTCGGTAGACCACTGCGAGTAATTCTAAAGGCCAGATATGCATTCAGTTACCTCCAACGATGCTTAATAAAATCGGATGTATCGCTCATAACTCAAGGATTGATCAAAGCCGAGAGCTTTACAAGCTTCTACCTGTTCTGATAATCGACCTTCTCCAACCATTATCTAATCTACATTGGAAATAAAAGTATGGAGAAACTATCAGTGAGATCAATTGGTTTTATATCTTGAAAAAATATCATTCGTTTACAAGTCTTCAAAAAGGCATTTCGATTTTTTGAATTTAAACTTTTTTTGTTCAAGTTCTTTTGGAGTACGTCACTGCTTGAATAAATCGGCCTGATGAAAGGAAAACCTCACTAACCCATCACATAGCCAAAAAATGGTTTTCGTGTAGAGAGTGGTGACAAACATTCATGGATTATTTCGCATAACGTCCTAAAATGGGATTAGTTGTGCACTTACTGAGGCGATTTACTTTAGTATCTTATTCTCAGTTCTACATTGAATGATTCTAAATAAAATTTTTGGCTTATATTTAGCATGAAAATTCTAAAAAGTTAGGCACGAAGTACTGTAGAGCCAGAAATAACTCCTCATTGTTGGCTACTGTTTTTCTTCCTCGCTAAATTGCCTTACCCACGCTTTTCTACTTTCCCACTTCGCTACCATTAGTACCCAGTTTTCTCTCCAATTCCTTTCGTCGTTATATAGGTTGAAAAATAAAGCCACTCGTCTGGATGTTTATTTACCTATATCACCTACAATCTCGTTAATCGTCGTGTAACTCGATAGGAAATTGCAACACCGTCTCCACTTCGTTGTTGGTGTTTTCTCGGTGGACTCCAATAGTTCGAGGAACAGAAGAACATCGCATTTCCTGTGTAGAACAACATGTCTCTATCGTTTTGAGAGAGGATAACCACGAGTAGTTTTACAATGACTTAAGTCTGGTTATAATTGAGTATTTAGATAGAAATGCCTTGTCTGCTTGAGTGGTTGAGGAGTTGAGGAATCAGCTTCATCTCATGAATCACGGCTGGAATCTCACGACTCCATGACGCTTGATATAGTGTGAGATAGTGAACTGCTAGGAATACTGTCACCTTTACAACGCATATGATGAACAACCCTGCAGTTCTCAAAAGAGACCTCTTCCTTTCCAATAATTAACTCCTAATCACAACTATGATGTATACTTGGGTATCGAACTACGTGATAAAAAGGGTGCAGTCGTCCAACGAGATCGCAAGGTCACCCAAGTTGAGCAGGAATTCAACATTTCCATCAGAACTCAAAACAAGAATGAGACGACGCCACATCGAAGTCCGAAAACCTAACCGTGGCTGTCTTTTGGCCATGAGCAATAGCAGTGAAGGATTTTGTAGGAACGTGTAGTGCCGTTTTCCCCTTAAACGATAGGAGCCAACAAAGGGCTCTGACGCATCATAGAAGTTTCGCATCCCTTCTGTTCATTCAAGTTACCCAGCCATTAAATGGAATGCAATGAAACTACAAGAAAATGTGATGGCGGTTTCTGATGACCAACTATCACTAGGAAAATGTTCATAGAGTATCCGATCTACATCGCTGTTCGTTATAAATTCCCGAAGCGGCACTGAGTCGGTACGCACATGTCTGGATGCAATTAAATTCCTCATCCGGGCAACTACTCATTCTCATCAGAAGAGCAATAATAAGTACAGTGACGGCTTCTATGATGTCACAACCCTCCGTCGGGCAGAATGGACCTTTCCGCTCCCAGTGTCATCGGCTTAGCCACGACGTCACGGGATCACACCATTCGCCCCAATGGGGTAAGGGCCGAGGACGCCGAGGCGACAAACAATCGATTTACCACCAGATTACGCGCGAAATTTGCATTCTCGTCATGGGCCTCAACTCTGCATCGATCTACCCACCATAACAGCCATTTTCATTCCTCCTTCTTTGTTTATTCTCCACATCTCCATGAAGTATAAAGAGTTTGGACTCCTTATCTTCATCATTGTCACGGTTTCAAGGCTCATGCCATAAAGAACTCATTCATCTTCTGTAAAGACTATATAGGGCGGATCAAGGTGTTGAAGGGCGTATACTCAGACCGAAAACGGGCTGTGTAATTACCTTGAGGTGCAAATGAACTCAAGGGAAAGGCTTTAATTTCTTGCGTCGGATTGATCTATACAAGTATTCATACTCATGGATGCATGCATGGGTGCGCTCGTGTGAATGCTGAATGCACATCGATTCCGCTAAAAGACTGCAGCACTTTAAAGTTCGTGCCAGGCAATTTGAGGCAACCTTGGGTACATATCTAGTGAGGAGAAGCTCGACTAGCTGCCAACTTACAGAAAGTGGCGGATGAGCGAAGAAGTTATTTTGTTTTCAATACGATTGATATCTTGGTTTAGCACTTTCCCTGTTTGTTTACGGAGGTGTTTGACTGGGTAGATTGCGGTCAACTTGACCTTTCCAGGCTCTGGAGAAGGCGAAATTCGCCGAAACGTCAGCTTCATTGTAATGAAAAAATAAAATAACACCTCGTGTTTGCTCAACAAGAACATAACGTCATTTCAATTTCCTCACACTATGGTCTTCATGTTCTTCTATGTTCCAAAGGAAAAAATCAAGTAAAACATGGTTTTGAAAATTAGAGACCAAAGGCCACTATTCAACAAATGAACCATGACATATTTTTCATGTTAGATGTTGAATTTAATCGGCCGAAGTTGGTAGCGTTAGTTTTGTCACCCAACCATAAGTTACCGTCCTCGTCGCCTGCCATGAAAACGTATCTCACTGATTTTCCAATTCTCCCTTCTACAAATTTCTTGTGCGCGAATTTAATGCAGGGGTAGAAACGATACAAAGATACAAGTACAGAATCACAGAAATGGGATCAATCCATCGCACTGGAAATGGAAATCCTTTCGAAGGGCTCATGCTATTCTTCTTCCGTGGAGGTTCTTTCTTTCAAGGAGAGAGATCAACACCGATAAACGTAGTAATCCCCAAATTGTGCTACTTATCTGGAAATCGACCACTTCCGTTGGAACAGAAGGTGGAGCTCATTCTAGGTCAGCATCCTTCCATCTTTTTACATTTAATCAGATAACCGCTTTCGTTCAAATATTGCCTTTACCACAGAGTTGTATGGAAATCTAGTCCTTGCACGAAAATCAGACAAACCGTGCCGAGCGATTCTACTATCACTGATGGTGTTTCGATTTATCACCGACGCTGAACTGCGAATCGTACGAAATACCGTATGATCTCGCCGGTACTGCTGCATGTTTTCTCAGTAAAGTTCGGCAATTTTTGGCAATCCAAAACAAGCCCCGAACATCTAATAAAACCTTCTGATGAAAACGAGATACCTGAGGTAAGGTTTGGCGGCATCGTACATCGAATCGACGTCGTGCATAAATATGCAGTGCACGGGAATCTTCATCTACACACACACGACCGGTGTTTTTGGAAGCAGCGTAAAGAGGACGAGTGTAATGAGATTGTCGTCCAGGTCTACGCAAGTACAAAATGTCGATCTTTGTTCTTTTCGTTCAAGATGGGAGAGCTATAATTTCTGTTCATGTGATCTGCAAAACTTGAGAAGTTCATTGCAAATCTCTGCCAAACCACAACGTCTACAACAGACTATATTATCGAGTGAAAAGTTAAAGTTGTAGATCAACTATTTGACCACACTTTATAGTTTACATCTGATTCATTACGTTTCATTGAAAACGCATGACGTGCCTTTGGCGCTAAACAACTCCTAACACTTCGTAGCTCGCGTACTGCATTGAAATCAATGCGTGCTGTACGATGTGCCCGTTCCCTCACCCGAAAATTCGTTAAATATCGTCTTCATCAGCAACACTGTTTGAGTTGCTCTATCAGTTTAAAAGACAAGTAATCGCCTGACGGGCTTTTGTTTCATTGATAGGCCACTTTCACATAGTTGAATTTGTGCATCAGAGACCTTTTTATTCCATCAGTGATGTTCTCATTAGAGAAAATATTTTTGCACTAGTCTCATCAGTAATAGTCTCCATGATTTGACAAACGAATTAGTCCGAGAAAAAGTTTTTATATGTTGTCATAGCTTTTCTCGAACAATCCCAACACAGCATCTCCGTTGAGGAAGCTATGGATGAAATACAAAAGGTGTAGAGAAAAGAAGTCATATGTGGAAAAATAAAGCACTAGAAAGAAAATGCATTGAATCCAATACGCGTTGCCGTTGTCCATCCTAAGTGTGTTTTCTCCTGATTAGGTTAATGTTTGGTAGAAATCGATCTGCACGTGCCAGTCGACACATCCATTATAGAATACAAAAGTTTTTAGCGTTATTTTCTTTCTGCCCATACTCGTTCTTAGGAACAAGATTTCTTTAAACAAAAATGAGCCATGGATCCATTTTTGGAGGGTATATTTTTTAGCCGTCTATTTAAATTTAAATCGTTTTCCCCGCGCCAAGGCTATTCCGTGTTAAGTTAGCTTTTGTTCAAAGCATGACACCCTATATGCATTGTATGCAACACATTCGAGGAGAAAATAGCCGCCCGTTTTGACTTTGGACCAACATATCTCAGCTCATACCAAACTTTTTCAGTTTAGGCTAGAACGATTAGAATTTACGGATCTCTACTTATAAGGTACAAACTACCTTTTTCCACAAAGATTAAGTCTTCATTTTCTTGAGGTCATGACAATATATTTCACTCTTTTTTGGCGTCAGGGTTTGTTATTCGGAAATGAAACCAATTGAACAAGCCATTCCGGCGGAATGTTTGGGATTTCCAACACATGCAGCAGTACTCGAAATGCGAGTTCTCAACTCAAAAGAAAAAATGTAAAAATAAGCAATTCTTCGTATTTTTGTTGAGCAAACACGAGGTGTTATTATGCTTTGTTCAGATTAAGCTGGCGTTTCGGCGGATTTCGCCTTCCTCAGAGCCTGGAAGGGTCAAGTTGATAGCAATCTACTCGGCCAGACGCCTCCATAACCAAACAGAGAAACTCTAAACCAAGATTTCAATCACTTTGAACACAGCTTTGCACACTCACCGCTTTCTACGAGGTTTCCACTAAGTATGTCACGTAGGGACCAACCGCACAGAAATCGCATTGAAGCGTAATGTGCCTCTCCCATCAGAATAGCAGTCTTATATACTGCCCTATATCACGCGTGATAATGAGGCATTCTTTCCTGCGGTTCATTTTCGGATTTCTGGAATTAATCCAGAATGCTTCGAGAGTTTTTCGCGCCTGTGTTCTTGATTCGCGTGCGAGGATCGTGACATATTTCAAAGTCCTCCCCGTTATGTCTCTGGGTCCTATGCGTGCTTAGCGGGACATTTGGTCTATGTTTGCCGGCTAGGTGTTCTTTTATGCGGACAGAGAGGGGTCTGACCGTTTCGACAATGTATTCGTCACCGCACGTCTTACAGGAGATTAGTTAAACTATACCCGAGCTCATGCAATCACCGTCTCTACCACTGGGGCAAATTATGCAACTTTGAATTGCACATAGACGGTACGCCTACCGAATTTTCTAAACCCGCCCTTCTTAAGCAGCGTTTTATAGCTGTACTTATATCATTTGAGATGAAGGGCAGAATAAACAGGACTCTTCTATCGCTAGAGTTGTCGTTTGGAAGCCTACGATTTCCTCTACACCTATCCTGAGCTACAGTTTCGTAGCCATTAGCAATGACTATTTACCGTGCCAAGTTCCGGGACTCTTCTCTCCGCTCTCTTCCCGTGCACACGTTGGTTGCTGTTCGAAACATGTTTCTTATAAGCGCCCTTTTCGTGTGAGAGGGGTGAGAGGAGAGGTAATGAACCAAGATGTTTTTACTATTTGGCTTTCGGTACCACTTTGTAATGTAGCCATTTTTTGATAGGTGAATTTGTACGTTCAAAAATGGAAGCCATTTTTCTTTCGGCTTTTCTCGGGTGAATTTGATATACTCTGACTGTGCGTTTAACAATTTGAAACATTTGTCCATTTCCTCTTGTGTTGAGCAAAGGACGAAGCAGTCNGCTCTCTTCCCGTGCACACGTTGGTTGCTGTTCGAAACATGTTTCTTATAAGCGCCCTTTTCGTGTGAGAGGGGTGAGAGGAGAGGTAATGAACCAAGATGTTTTTACTATTTGGCTTTCGGTACCACTTTGTAATGTAGCCATTTTTTGATAGGTGAATTTGTACGTTCAAAAATGGAAGCCATTTTTCTTTCGGCTTTTCTCGGGTGAATTTGATATACTCTGACTGTGCGTTTAACAATTTGAAACATTTGTCCATTTCCTCTTGTGTTGAGCAAAGGACGAAGCAGTCGTCTAAATACCTACAGTAGAGTAGCGGCCCGAGATCAGTCACCGGTGCTTCCACCTTAGACATAAATGCAATGGCAAGGCTTGGAGCCAGTCGTTGTTCCATTGCCAACCCTCTTATTTGAGCGTAGTACTTTCCAGACCATCTGAAGTTTGAGCAGATCAAGCATTCTTTTAAGAGTGCCATCAAGTGCTTTATCTTGAAGCCATACATGTTTATTTCTCCTTCGTGTTGTGTAAGGGGTTCGAATATGGCTTGCATTGCGGAGTCATTCGACACGTTTGTATAAAGGGCGGTAACGTCGAAGGACTCCATCACGTACGCACTGTTGGGCTGCGCAGTACGTAGACGATCCAGAAACATCTGGGTATTCGTAAGATGGGCTGGAATGTGTTTTAACAACTGGTTAAATATTAGGGTTAAAAACCATGTTATCCTGTCCGTTGGCCCGTCTACGCAGCTAATGATAGGTCTAACCTTAAATAGTGATGGATCGTTAGACGCAAGATCATCACTGGATACTAACTTATGAGTTTTTATAACTAAGTACAAGACGGGGCATATTGTTAAGTCAAGTTTAAGTTGAGAGATAACTGATGGTTTTAAGCCAGCAGCCAGGGAAGAATGCCTCATTATCACGCGTGATATAGGGCAGTATATAAGACTGCTATTCTGATGGGAGGAGCACATTATGCTTCCATGTGATTTCTGTGCGGTTGGTCTCTACGCGACGTACTTAGTAAAAAACTCATAGAAAGCGGTGAGTGTGCAAAGCAGTGTTCAATATGATTGAAATCTTGGTGTAGAGTTTCTTTGTTTGGTTATGGAGGCGTCGATCACTGCCATCAGCAAGTGCAATTCCTTCGTTTCGCATGTCTCTCAGTCGTGTTATTGACCTATAGGTGCCGTAAGCAATCACCCATCAACGGGATTGATCTGGAGGAGCACAAATCGGTATGAACCCAGTTAAGTCGAAGTTATGCTATAAGTCGTAATGTCGTCAATTTTTATTTACAATTAAAAATGAAATGACGACATAAAAATAAACTTCAATATGAGATGGCATGCGTTGGTGTAAAATTAAAAATGGCCATTGCCACTGCACGAAACGCATTGTATTCGGTGCATGGTGAGTGTTCGGTCTAAACTGTAGTACCGTTTTACGAAAATATGCTGTTTCCGAGGTACCCACATCATATTTCCGCTTTTAGAGCTATGTATTCTCTGAAATGTCGTCATTTTTATTTATCGGTCTCTCTCTCTTTTTCTCTCTCTCTCTCTCTCCCTCTCCGTCTCTCTCTCTCTCTCTCTATCTCCATGATAACTCCTTTTATGTTTTCCAGTTTTTCACAAATAATTTGGTTACACATGGACTCAGCGTCTGTCGACTGATTTATTCCACACTCTATATCTATTACTGCATTGCAATGTCCTCTGTGAAGGTTGCCGTTCGTGTACGGCCCTTTAATCAGAGGGAAATCGCTAACGGATCACGATGTATCATTGGCATGAATGGCACCACTACAAGTGAGTTTCAGATCTTTTCAGATAATTATGTAACAGTGTATTTTGTGGCACAGTGTAAATATAATGCCTTCTGTATTTTTTTACAATTCCTGTGTAGAGATCTTCACTTAGGCCTGTAAGACTCTGTACAGTTTGAATTGAACACTGTTCTAGTATTGGTACAGTTAAGCAGTTTTTCTTCTTCTGTAGAATTCTGGCACAGCCCTTTTATGGAGTTCCATGGTTACCACCACTGGTGGTCGCCGTCCGTTTGGATCGATGACGCGTTTGTTCCCTTGCGACTAGGTTGTATCCTGGACAATTTTGAATTCCGGCACAAATTTATGCGTATTTGGGCTTATGGGTAGGAGTATCGAATTCTTCGAATTGGGTGATGATTTCGCCAGGAGGAGCGAATGCTCCGCTGTACATTGCACAGTTCGCTACACAGGAATACTTTCATGCAACAACGTGGCAATAAATCATTTAGGGAAACAGAATTTGCTACATGTCTTATTATGTTTCATACAAGTCGAATAAAAAAGCCACTGCAAATTTACATATATTAAGGTTACATATTATATACATTATATAAATATCATCGTCCGTTAAAGCCTCAAAATGTCAAAAAATAGCGGAAACACAAGTAGCTGAAACAGGGTTGGTGCCACTTATTCATGACAGAAATGAAACGGTGTCAATCAATTTTTTTCTCATTATTTAATCGTCGTTGCATAAGGATGTTGTTTTCTCGTTATTTGTTTATAAGCGTTCTTTCCTGGACAGTGTCGGACTTGAAAGGTTCCGTCACACGTGTGGAACCATACCCGAATACCAACATGGGCGGAGGAGTGGTACAACCACTGGTCGGATGGAACAGAGGTTATAGCTGAGAGACAAGCGAAAAGAAAGACCCGCATGGCGTGGTGGTGAACGCGTTACTCCCGGAAAGGACTATAGTACGTTCGTTCCCCATTGCAGACACCTGCGATCTGGAGTTTTGGAAATATCTCAGCATTATGGAACAGAAAGTGTTCTGAATCTAAAACGAAACGCTTGAAGAAGTTGCTAAGCTATAGTTGATTGCGAATTACAACATCATAAGAGGTCGTACACGTTTAACGAGTGACAGGAACTTTAGAATGAGTTTGCTAAGAAGATTCCAGTTTACCATGTTCCTCAGACCTTATACTAGCTGGCTTTCACTTTTAAAATGTGTTCAGTGACCGATATGTTGCAGAAAATCTTGGTGAAAATTTTCTAGTCAATTATTTATAAACTTAGATAGCTTGCCGTCTTATGTCGTACGATTCCTAGCAGTTCTTCCATTCGTTTCGTTATTCTGCAACGGTCATGTTATTGTGGTGGCCGGTTTTGGGTGCAGATCCGGTTGCAACTTGAGGCTCCGTAATCTTGTATCTTTACGAGCGGCTGTCAAATGGTGATCCAACATAATTTCACCTGGAATCCTGATATATAACCCATGCTAGAGCATTCCCAGCTTAGTTGTCGGCCTTTATGGACCTGAAGGAAATTTGCATTGAAATAAAGAAATTATTTTGAGCAATCGGGACACCGTGTGGGCCTCACACTACCCTTTCGGGGCGGGGGTACATGCTATCCACCACATATGTCGCGTGAAGACCGACCGCACAGAATTCACATGGAAGCCCTCTCCCATCAGAATAACTAGCTTATATACTTTTTTAAAGGGGCATCACTGAGTGAGGATGCCTCATTCGAGAAGATGGCTCGCTGAGGAAGATCTGGCTCGACAGGAAGGCGAAGACGCAACGTCGAGGCGAACAACAAGCATGGACCATCGACTCGGATCACCGGCTCTGAGGAAGACGAAGACGTCGAAACGTTAGCCGAAAATAAATATATTTATCAACCTCGTGCAAGCTTATCAAGAAAGAATACATATAGCTTATATACTGTCCAATATCATGTGCGATAATGAGGCATTCTTCCCTGCGGTTCATTTTCGGATTTCTAGAATTAATCCAGAACGCCTCTAGAGTTTTGCGCGCTTCTGTTCTCGATTCTTGCGCGAGGATCGTAACCCTTATTTCAAAATCTTCTCCGTTATGTTTCTGCATCCTATGCGTGCCTAGTGGAGTATTTCGCTTATTGCCAACTAGGTGCTTTTTTTATACGAATGCAGAGTGGTCTACCCGTTTCGCCAATGTATTCGTCTCCGCACGCCTTACAGGAGATCAGCTAAACTGTACCCGAGCTCATGCAGTCACCGTCTCTACCATTGGGGTAAATTATGCAATTCTGCGTTGCACATAGACGGTCGTATAGGCGGTTACGAACTAGCTGGCGTCTAAGATTACTCGGTGGCATTTCAACAGCATTTACCGAATTCTCTAGACCCGTCCTTCTTAAGCAGCGTTTTATAGCTGCACTTACATCATTTGAGATGAAGGGTAGTATAAACGGAACCTTTTTATCGCTAGAGTTGCCGTTTGTGAGCCTAGGATTTTCCCTACACCTATCCCGAGCTACAGTTTCGTGGCAATTAGAAATTGCTATTTGCCGCGCCAAGTTCCGGTACTACGGGTTTAACTTATACCTCAACATCAATGAGACTATACAAATCAAAGTAAAAAAATAAATTGGCCCTTTAAAAAGCCGTTCACTAGAAGAAAACTTACTTTTACCGTTTCTGTGAAATTGTTCGTCCACACCCAATATCGAGTGACGAATATTACTTTAATGGGATAGCTTGATTTCAACAAAGTACAGAAAACTTCATCTAGATGGTTTCCATAAAATGGCGTAATTCTGCCCTTTAACGATGTCTGCTTTCGTTAGGGAATATATATCCATTATTGACCTTAAATGAACTGTTTGATATGTGAATGATACCTTGTAAATGAGGACAAGGACTTTTAATTGCAGTGGAACCTTAGAACTAAAGTAATTCGATTTAAGGACACCGTTCGCATAACTTCAGGCCTCTTTTAACAAAACCGTAAAATAATTTCGGAAGGAATCTTCATTATTTTTTATCCTGTTGGGCTCACAGTTCTGTTAAGATTCTCATACAGCAATGTTTGTCATCAGGAGGCCCTAAAGCGGAAAATGCGTCGTGTATTTGTTTTTGTGGGCGTAACCTATCCTTTTTTTTATTTCAATTTAAAGGAGTAACATGAGCAGGGATAATGCTTATTCCTTCTTTCATCATTGGGTTTCAGTACAAAATATGTTTCAATTAGTTTATCTGATAAAAATGAGAACGGCTTGCAATTACTGGAATTCGCCTCTAATTTCTTTCTGACAGACATGATTTTCAATCGCTGTGTAACTAAAGTTACAGCAACCACCGAAAAGGAAATGTATTGACTGCAATGCACTTAGTCTATTTTGCTTCCCAAGGAAGGTTTGGTGGATAGGATCATATACATTGAGGAATCTGAATTAAGAAGAACAAGGGTAGAGACTTGAAATAGGATTCCAATTAAAGTTGTGAAACCGAGGCAAAGACGTTATGTTGCTGGTTACATCACAGCACAAGAAAAGCAGTCAATTCTAAAAAATTGCCAGTCGGGTGACTTTTGGGCAAAGAGTAAAAATGAATCGTGATCGAAAATATTTTTGTGGGTGGAGGAATGTTTTTCGTGGTTTGAGTCGTCTTCATGAATTTCGTGGAATTCTAGCCGGATAGATTCTCTCTGAAATCCAAGCCTAACTGTGCTACGACGTTTCTATGTCTTCACCCACACTGTCATCAGCCTCTCTCGATCAGAAAGAGACTTTCTCAGACAAGCCCGGTTCCACTTTCATGACACCGTGAACATGGAAAGTTTGGTTATCCCAGTTCGGAATTGAATGAGGGAATGCGCATACGTGGATAATGGATGCGAGGAAACGAATTGGATGTGAGAAGTGCTGAGATTCGCACAGCAGACATGAAGACGGATAAAATAAAATGAAAAAAAACAAAACAAAAATAAGAAGAATGCGCATGTATTATTTCACGACATCTATAATCTTTCCTGGTCCATCGAGTATACTACAGTTTCCAGTAGACTAAATATCCAGGAGGATCATATGGCAACAATAAGTTCGTATGAATGTTAAGGTGTTTGAAGTATTGTGATCTCCTGGAACATTCTATGAGAAGGTGGTATTGAAGCTATGATGTTGTACTGTTGTGAGCAGTGAATTAATAAAGTGCTGCTAATTTCTTGAAACAATGAAAACCAGCCGCGAATGATCCGCCAGTGGGATATCAGACGTCTCAGTTCAAAAAAAAATTGTCTGGCGGAAAGACTAAACAAGGGTTTCGGTTGGTGTGCTTAATAGCTCGTGAGCTCCAGAAAAGGATAATCAAAAGTTAGAAGCTCAACTGAGGTTCTGGGTTTGCTCGTATCTTAGCATCTTTGTCTTTCGCGTAATACTCTCCAATGAACAAAAAATAGACAGCGAATAAAACTTAAATATTAGTTCATAGCATCTTTCTATTGTTCAGCAAAATGCTATTTATGTTTCAGCTATCAGCGGTTCGTCGCCGGACAAGTGTCATTCGTTCAATTTTGACTATTCGTATTGGTCATACTCGAAGGACGACGCTCATTTCATTAGTCAAACACAAGTATATCAGGATCTTGGCGTGGAAATGCTCGAACATGCATTTGAAGGGTTTGTGCTTTATAGTAAAAATATAAAAGATAAGGCGTTCGACGTTAATAGATCCTGAGAGATGTGCCACGCATTCGGTTCCCTTATGCACCGCAGAGCTGATTTGAATCTATGTTTTACCAACGAGCTAACTTGTTGGAACTAACCGGTGTATCAGATCAGTGTTGCTATTCTTCCAGACAAGTCTGCAAGCAATTTGCTGACCCTAGGTCAATGAAGGGCGTGGTTTACCTGGTGCTGAGAAATGAACCAGAGATCTCGTGCCTATCGCTGAACGCCTCTAGCTACTGAGCAGCATTGCCCCAATATATAGTATAATCATAAAACATAATTTGTTTACGAACTGCCTTTATTGAGCTAATGCGAGGTTGGTATAAGTTGTCGTTGTTGCTGTTATTGTTGCTATGGTTCGACGACTGAAGTTTGGCGACTTCGCCTTTCTCAGATCGTGGACGCATTTTATGTAACAGCAGCGTTAAAATTTGGTGAAATCATGGTGTTGATAAAGATCTAACAAATAAATGAGTGCTATTTTGTTTTAAAAAACGTCAACGCGCAAGACACTTGAAGCGTTTTGGGTAAATTTCAAAAGGCTAGAGATGAACCGGAAAGACGACTACACTATTACGCATGACCTGGCGCCTTTTTCGAATTGATTTTCTGACCCGAGTAGGTTTCACTGGTCATCCCAAGCCACCAACACACGGCTGGTTCCATACGCAACAGCACGGTGAGTGGTTTTTAAACAAAATGGCGTTTTTAAATGTGTCGTTCTCTTTCTCACCAACGGCGAGTTTGTTATGCAGCACACGATTACTTCCTTACAGAAATAACACATGCAACACAACGGTAGCTGACGTTTCGGCAGTATCGCCTCCTTCAGTGGCTGGGAGGGTACACTGATATGTAATTTACTAGGTCAAATGCCTCAACAGCACAAACAGAAAGATGAAATCCTGAACAATAATCACACGATCTGCAGCTTCTCGAAAAACCCAGCGTTTTTAACCTGCTTTCCACTGCTTTCCACCCAGGAAGAACAGCCACCTAGAGTAGCATATAGTTGTTGACTGCGCCATCCCTGGTGAATGAATAGCAGGGAGAATACCCGGAGATCACATGTGATCTCGCTCTGCACCTTCGCATCGACTTTTGATATGGGGTGGTGCAGTTATCAACCATATGCGACTCTAAGCGGCTGTTCTTTCTGGGTGGAAGGCAAGGAAAAATAGGTAAAAAATGCTGGGTTTTTCGAAAAGCTGCAGATCGTGTAATTACCGTTTAGGATTTCATCTTTCTGTTTGTGCTGTTGAAGCATTTGACCTAGTAAGTTGCGTATTAGTGTACCCTTCCAGACTTTGAAGAAGGCAATCCTGACTAAACGTCAGCTACCGTTGTGTTGTACGTGTTATGCTTGTAAAGAAGTAAACGTGTGCTCAGTAACAACCTCGCGATTGCTGGAAAAGAGAACGACACATTTATAATCCAATTTCGTGGTTTTAGAAAGTCGGTCTTGGGAATTGTTAAAATGTCGTTCATTTATATGATAGATCTTCATTAATACCATAAATACTCCGCCAAATATATATTTCTATCGTCACATGAGTACGTCCAGAATCTGAGGAAGGCGAAATCAGTAGAATGGCAGTCATGGAACAATAGCAACTACGACAATACGACAACTTATACCAACCTCACATCAGCTCAACAAGGGCGCTTCGTAGGAGATATATATATGTATGTATATGCATATATAAAGAAAAGCTCTCGGCGTTGACCAATACCTGAGACATGCGCTATGCATTCGACTTCGTCAGATATCGTTGGAGGTAATTGAATGCATATCCAGCCTATACAATGACTCGCGGTGATCTACCGATGTATTGAACCAGTGCTGCTATCTCCTCCCAGACAAATGCGATACCAATTTGCCGATCCCGAAAGAATGGAAGGCTTGGTAGGCCATGGACGGGAGATCGATTACGCCCAACCACTGCGCCACATGCACACATTTACATATGTATACCTATTTACATATATACATATATGTATACATATATATATCACATATATGTATACATATATATATATATATATTTACATAAACCGAGTTTTGTAGAATGGCTGTCTTTTGAGTTATAATTCAATTAGTTGCGCACTTTGTTCAGTGAACAAACTTACCACTACGGAGCTGTCAAGATGTATTACTTTCTATATTATACCTAATCGTTATAAGGGTACTGACGTGAAATATATGAACTTATTTTGATCACTCTTTTTCGATGTCAACCGCCCACTTATCTTCCCGTCTGTGTTCAAATAGCACTTGATATTTTTCTCCTATACTTTCAAAAAAAACAGGTTATGTCATGATAGAGAAAATTTTTTTACAGTTGTGGCCAAGAAGGCTGTTTATCAGTAGAGTTAGAATGCTGAAATGGGTGTGTTGATCTAGGGAACTTATCGTGGCGACTACTAAACCCACCAGTGATTATAAACACCGAGTATGGAAGTCGTTGTTGGATGAAAAAGGGGTTATACGGATTTCTTTACCTTTCAACAAGTGAGCCGTAATTTTCAGGTACAATGTATGTATATTTGCCTATGGGCAGACGGGCGGCGGTAAATCATATACGATGATGGGAAAACCAGGTGACGAGAACGAAATGGGAATCATTCCGCGACTTTGTAATGACTGTAAGTCTGTGTCTTTTCGCTACTGGTGTAATTCATTGTTTACAGGAAACCGTATTTTAAAAGCGAAAGGAACAGCCATAACCTTGGTTTTGTATTTTTCGTTACTAAGTATTTCTTAAGAAATATCTCCGTATTGTGTCATATGATAATGCAGATATAGTCGTGCGTGCAAATTTAGAACGCCGCTCGTCCTCTCTAGGCGAGCATGCTCTTAAAAAGCTAATGCTTAAAAGATAAAGCATAAAAAGAAGAGAAATGTTCAGGTCTTATGAACACATGCACTACGCGCATCGTTATATTACCAGGTGCGTAAGAGTGCCTTTACCATCGTTAGCCACAACACCTTGATTGGATGAGCTATCGACTGATTACTAGGAATATGACAAATTATAACTATGCGTCCAAAAAATCATCAGAAAGTAATTGACCGCCATGTACCTCACGCCGGCCACTCTGCGCGCATCATATGATTGTACAAAATGCGCACTGTTGCAGTTGGATTAGTGAAACCTTTCTTTTCCACACATGCATCCAATTACTATGATGTTTTTAGTGTTTGCACGTGTCGCAAACAATGACGATAGTCATATACACTATTCGGTTGAGGTTTCGTATATGGAAATCTATTGCGAACGAGTGAAAGATCTACTAAATCCGAACAGTACCGGTATGTCATTTTCTAATTCATTGGACTTCTTTTTATTGTTTTGCTCTTCATCGCTTTTTCTTTACACACTTCTTTCTACCAAATTTTATTCTTCCGGCCATGTTTCCATTTCTCTCAAAGATTTTCGGAATATCCCATACGCTTTTGCACTATTTCGCGCGTGAAAATGGATGGTCTCAGTGTGGTACCAGTTTCCGGTTATTCCCAGAAAGAACCAGCATGCAGCAAATTTACTGCTTCTTAACCTGGCAAATGGTAGTGTTATCAAGAAGACAAAAATTCTATAAAAATAAACCAAAGGTCTTCTTACCATATCAGCATTCATTACGATGATTGCATCATTCCGATTTATTACAAGTATTCTGAGGTCTGTTGTTAGCACTTCTTAAGAGTACTGTGTGCAATAGCCTTCTGAGGCCACGTCTCCAGTGCCCATTAAATTCTCGTTATGTCGTAAAAAATCTCAGTCAGCGTTTTCAGGAAATCTTCGAGTACGCGAGCATCCACTTCTTGGCCCTTATGTAGATGATTTAACCAAAATGGCAGTTTGTTCATATCAAGATATTTGCCATTTAATGGACGAAGGAAATAAAGCAAGGTGGTTTTTTTTTTGCCTTTCGTAACAGCTGGTATTTTTCTGAGCATTCTAATTTGCGAACTTTTATTTACTAAGGGGAAACGTTTAAGTTTAAAAAGAGAGGACACTCGAGAAAGGATAATCAGTTCTCGATTTGATGAAACCCGCATATCTTTTAGAGTAGTTTCTAAAGAACTTTTGTTTCTAGCTTCTTAGAAACAGTGGAAAAAATTGGAGCTAAAGATGAAACTAGTATAAGCAGGATTTTTCCACAAAACGACCCAATGATATCCACTCTCTCTTCGTTTGTGCTTCCAGTTAACCTGTTTGCGTTAAAGTTTTACCAATTTAGGTTTTCATCCTAATTTTAAGAAGTTTTGAGCTTAAACGGATTTAGAATGCATTTAAGCCAAACGATGTAAGTCCCTAAAGCAATAGAACGGTAGTATGTTCTATAAATCAGTCACGTTTCATTTTCCCAGTTGCTTATTTACTTGGATACTTGGACGGTCCGTCTTCACGAGCTCTGCGGACCCCAGCACATATGCCATTCGTTCCTTTCTCTCGCAATCGTAGTCCATGGTGGTGGTCTTGTTCGAGCATGGTAGCGCTTGCGAGTTTTATACCGTGATCTGTAAAACAACTGCAGCTGTTAGTACAACTGATCAACTTTGTTTACGAACACGTCCGCCCAGCGTGTAGGTGGTCGTCCAAGAGGACGTTTGCATTCTCTTGGAGTCCACTCTACTGTTCTTTTCGTCCATCTGTCGTCTGTTCTTCTCATTATGTGACCGGCCCATCTAAATTTCGCTGTCGATGTATATTCTCCTGGATCTCGACGATGTGACAGAGTTCGAAGGTCAAAGCTTCGCATTCCGGCAAGATATTGAGAGCGCCGGTTATATTTCAAAAGACATTGCCTAAGCGCTCTGTGAGTAGTGTGAATAATTCTTGATGTGGTTCAAGTATCAACCCACGTCTCTGCAGCATAACAGAGCGCCGGGAGGACCGTAGAATCAAAAAGATGAGCGCGGGTTTTCGGGTCCTTCAGTTGGTCGGTGGCTTCTTTGAGAGGCCCGAATGCGGCCCAAGCTGCTCTCCTTCTTCTATCTAGTTCCTCGTTCATGTTGTTTTCCATGTTTATTGATCGCCCAAGGTAAACATACGAGGTGGTCTCTGCATTCAATTTTTTCGCCTTCGGATCATGGGTTTTTCATGAACTGGATCTTTTTTCGATATAGGCGAAGTCCGATCTTTTTCCCCGCTTCGTTGAGCTCGTTGATCATCACGTCTGCTTCGCTAGTACTTCTTGAGAAGATGACAATATCTTCGGCAAAACGAAGGTTTGATGAAAATTTTCCATCAATTCGTATGCCTTCCTCATCCCAATCGAGTGACTTCATTATCCACAGCAGTGCGGCACTGACCAGATTTGGCGATATTGTGTCGCCCTGTCGAACCCCTTTTCGTATGGGTATTGTAAGAGGTCGATGGAAAAGCTGTATTTTCGTAGTGCAGTTTCGATAACAGTCGGACAGAGTCTTTATGAAAGACGGGTCCACTCCTTAGTCGACGAGCACTGATAGGATTGCATTCGTTTCGACACTATCAAACGCTTTCTCATAGTCGACAAAGGCTAGGACTAGAGGCAAGTGGTATTCCCGACAAACTTCGATGACCCTGGGCACGGTCTCGATGTGGTCCATGCAACAAAATTCTCTTCGAAATCCTGCTTGCTCGACTGGTTGTGCCTCAGCCAATGTTCCTTGATATGGGCGAGAGGATAATTCGGATAATAGGATAATTTTCCCAGTTATGTTCTCGTTATTAGAAAATAGCCAGCTCTTGTCGAAAAATGTCCCGGTCAAGAATGCGCTTCACAGGTTTTACATATTCTAGCCAATTTTTATAATTTCCAAAAGGTTCTGATAAAAAACCGTCGTGTGTTTAAATTGTGAAATTTGTTAGCTTTAATTTAAACACATGATAATTATTTTGCCGCAGAAGTTAAAGGGTGGTCGGTTTGAAAAAAAATGATCGCACTATTTTTCAATCAGTATATAAAAGATGTTTCGCAACGGTTCGTCGCCTCATCGTGGCTAGGAGGTGTTCCTGAGTGTTGGGCTGCCATGTACAGCGAAGGGATTCATCATCCTGGCAAGGTCTCCCAAGCTGAGAAGGAGTCCAGCGTATCTATCAGGTAACACAGCTAAGGGCAAACCAATACAGGATCCGTCACCGTCCTGGTACCAAACTAGTCGCATGGTGGCAAATCTTTCTCTGATCCACAAGGGTGACGACCTGGGGCAGACTTTGGCTGGACTGACCTCGGGACTTGAGGGAACAACGATGGCTTAACCAGAAAACTCCGAAAAAATGGAGTTAACGCTGGGGCTCGCACAACCAACGAGGTCGGGCCATCCAAGCACGTAAAAGATGCAACGTACTCCGTATTACTTTTATGTTTATTCTTTTGCACACTTTTCCTCAAATCTTTATAATCCTTACACCCTTGCCTCAGCGCTAGTTTTTTCATTTCATCCTCTGGCTCTCCTCCATGAAAACCACTTCTTAGGACCGTTGCTGCAACAAATATGAACTCCACCTCGTCACGTTCTCATGCCGTCTTTACTATTGTGTTAACCCAGAAAAAGCACTGTCCAGATGCGAATCTGGACACGGAGAAGGTATTTTTCGTTTGTAATTCCTCCTATTTATCTTTCGCCTTAGTTTTATTCACACCTTTATCTTCTTCTTTCAGTGTAACCTAAAGAGTTTTTAGCAATGAGAGTTTTTGAGCATATGTGTATTGTTTGTGAATGACGTATTTACAGTAAATTGACTTTTTGTCACTAAGAATCCTTTATCAGAGATCGCATAGTGGTATTATTGTACTTTATTGAAATTTCTACTTTATCTAAAATATGATTTTTTTTGTAGTGATTCCCACGATCGGCTTTCTATGAACTTCAGCATTGACCAAATAGTTCTCGATATTCTTGTTGAGCAAACACGAGGTGTTACTTTACTCTTTATTCCGTTAAAGCAGACGTTTCGGCAGATTTCGTCTTCTTCAGAGCCTGGAGGGGTATAATGATACGCGATTTATTACGTCAAACACTTCAATAACACATGCAGAAAGATAGAAATCTAAAGATGAAGTCGCTGTCCTCGCACAGGATGCCAAAACACCAATGAGCAAACTTCTTGAGGCTTTTTGGATAAATACCAAGAACCCTAGAATGAACAACAAGGAGGAGTGCCCCGAGATGACATGTGATTTCTCCCAGTACCTTCTCATCGACTTTTGATGTGGGGTGGTGCATTCATCGACCATATGGGACTCTGATCAGCTGTTCTTCCGCGGTGGAAGGCACGTTATAAACAGTGGATTTTTCGAGAAACTGTTCATCGTGTGATTGCGGTCTAGATTTCCATCTTTCTGTATGTGCTATTGAAACGTTTCACGTGGTAAATTGCCTGACAATATACCATTCCAGGCACTGAAGAAGGCTATCATCTTTAACGGAATAAAGATTAAATTAATACCTCATGTTTGCTCAAGAAGAATATCAAGAACTATAATTTTTTGATTGTCTTGGAAGGATAGGGCGCAGATCGTTCGGCGTAGCTTAAACTCTTTAGAGGCATTATAGATTTTGAGAGAACGCTTATCTGACCTGTACAGTATGTGTACATAAATGTGTATAAGTAAATATATATGTGTATATAAAACTGCTTTCGGAAACCTCTTGATATATCAACCTAGTGTTTTTATTCACCCAGACAAATCCGGTGCCAATTTATCGCTTCGGGGCGCTGGGAGCTTTGGTTCACCTAAGGCGCGGGATCGAATAATGGACCAGTGTAAATTTCAAGACACCTCCAACCAACGCACTCTTTCGCCTACGTTATTTCACTTGTGGCTGTTCTTATATAAATAAGGACATTAATTTTGCAAAATTTTTGATCTTTTCAGCTGAATCGACTCTATTACCGATTATTTTGAGCATATTATTAGATCTATGCAATTGCACATTGTGACGGCTACTGACAAAAATTGTGTTCACTTAAGGTGTCCAAAATATCGTTGGTGGATTTGGCGGGAAGCGAACGAGCCACTTCAACTGGTGCCGAAGGACAACGACTCAAAGAAGGCGCGAACATCAACAAAAGTTTGACCACCCTTGGTCTTGTCATCAGTAAACTTGCTGAAGAGGTAAAAACGCTTTTTTGTTTAAATGTTTCGAAGTTAACAATCTGTACAAACTCTTCTTCTTGTATTAACTCTCAAGTCCGACTTTCTATTAACCTCGGCATTGACTGAATAATTCTTTCTATTTCTGTTCAGCAAATATGGAATTGGTTATGGAGGTGTTTGGCCGAATAGATTACTGTCAACTTGGCCTTTCCAGGCTCTGAGGAAGGCGAAATCCACCAAAACGTCAGCTTGTACGTAAATAAAGAAATAAAATAGCACCTCGTGCTTGCTGAACAGAAGTAGAAAGAATTCTTCTACTTGTTTTTCGGATTAACAAGTCTAGAAACTCAGTAATAACCTTTACGGATGAAAATGTTTTCCTGTCTATTAAAAAGTGGTCCTCATCGGAATTAAGGGGGATGAAATAACGAAGTCCTTAGCATTTTGGTTTTGAACGGCTTATTGTCGTAGCGATATCCGTTCGCATTCCATCATTCGAAATTATTTAGTTCGTTAAGTTACTTAAAAATTCTATTGAAGATTGACACCTTTTATTGTCGTCCATTGTTTGAAACATCTGCACCCTACCAAAGTTCTCTTGTGCTATCCATGCTTAAGAAAAATTTGAAGTTGTAAACATATTCTGGATGTTTTGATTGACTGACTGAGAACCTTTAACTGACTGATTTGATTTAAGTTTCGCTCTTTCTTTTTCAAACACGACTTTGTTTTTTTTATGTAGCATGTAGACACAAAGGGGCGTAGGTGGCGCAGTGGTCCGAGGGACCCTGCAACACACACGTGGAATCGATCCCAGCGCCCGTGGCTCACCAAGCCTTCCATCCCTCTGGGGTCGGAAAATTGGTACGACACTTGTCTAGGAGGATAACAGCACTGGCTCGATACATCGATAGGCCACCGCGAGGCATTGTAATGGCTAGATATGCATTCAATCTCCTACAAACGATGCTTAAAGAAATCGGATGTGTGGCACATCCCTAAGGGATTGATCAACGCCGAGAGCATTATTCTTTTTATGTAGATACGAATTTTATTTCGCTTCATTGTGTACCTAAGCACATCCCTGTGCAAAGTATCCCGTTTTCTTTTTTGTTTGGTTTTTTTCTAAACCTTTGGGTTGACATGTGAATATATTAGAAACAGCAAACTATACGTGAAGTTGAGTAATAAAAAAGCAAATCAAAACTTTATTTGAGTAAAGGCCTCATTTTTGGCTCGTTGATGACGTGAAAGAGAAAAGTGTTTAGGCCGGAAAGAAGTCAAAGCGAGGAAAAGGAGTGATTCCCTACAGGGATTCGGTTCTCACATGGTTACTTCGCGAAAATCTGGGCGGAAACTCAAAAACGGCGATGATTGCCGCTTTGTCACCAGCTGACATTAACTTCGATGAAACCCTTAGTACATTGCGGTAAGTCGCTCACAACTGCAAATAGTTGAAACTAAGAGTGGTCTGTTGCCTTGAATGATCGTAGCTTCTTTGTTCTCTTTCGTCTATACGGTCGTATACACAATTACCCATAGGCACAGACGTACGCAAATACATGGACACATACACATACACACGCAAGCATATACACACATACACAAACAAATATACATACATACAAACAGACAAAAATACACACCTCGACCCACACATGAACGTGTAGGCACACACATAAAAGCGCATGTGGGCAGCCATTTCCCGATAAAAAAAGAATTCCGGAAATTCCTTATAAGGCACCAATCTATAGTTTTAGATGACTGAATCGATTGTTGTATAGTGGGAAAGAAATGATTAAAAAAGAAACAATTAAGGCTTTTAAATGACAAGTTAGGGGAACCCTATTAATTTTCTCCTTAATGTTATTGTGATGTTCTAGAGTTGCGCAATTATGTGCCTTCTACTTAGATTATTGTTTTAAACATTTGGAATTTAGTTCCCAGGATCGACTTTCTCTTAACCTCGGCATTGGAATATGAATGTGTCGTTTTCTTGTTCAGCAATCGCGAGGTTTTTAAACAGCATACATTTACTTCCATAAAAACACAATACAATACAATGCTAGCTGACGTTTCGGCAGCATCGCCTTCTTCAGAGCTGCTTTTTCGTGACTTCCAATTATAGTCGCATGTGGTTGACGAGCTGTTCTAAGCTTCCTCATTGGAAGTCACGAAAAAGCGGCTCTGAAGAAGGCGATACTGCCGAAACGTCAGCTAGCGTTGTATTGTATTGTGTTTTTATGGAAGTAAATGTATGCTGTTTAAAAACCTCGCGATTGCTGAACAAGAAAACGACACATTTGGAATTTAATTAAGTAATGCACGTAAGGGTCTTGCTGGACCCTATATGGGGTAAAAAAAGTTTTCCGTACCTCCAAGGTTGAGAAATTGGTACCGAACTTGTCTAGGAAGTACTCCTCCTCAAGACTGGCAGCCGCATCCTAAAGCCATCCACAAAAAACTCTTGTGAAGATCTAAGAATGCATTAGCACGCTATCTTAGGATCCCAGGCAAAATCCCCTCGAGCAGCATTTCAATGTCTTTCATGAAGAAAAGCAAAAATCCTGAAGTGATTGCTCAAAATAAGCAAATCCGAATACCTTCATGAATTATGAGTGCCACGGAACGAATAAAATGAATCAGGCACTTCAATTCGTACAATGTATGGTGTAGCGTCGTTTGGAAAATGCGGCGACCATGTGTTCCGTCTTTTTCGCTTCAGCTACACTTTTCATCACCTGTTAAATAATGCACCTAAGTAATAACTTCAATTTTAAGTAAACGTCAGAAATCTGTTACCTTGAAGAGGTGCTAAGACCTTGCAGTTAAGATTATAGCTGAAAATGAGGGTTTTTCGGCGAAGAACAGCCAGATGTCCGATTTTATATACGAACGAATGGCTTGATGTATTCAAATATTTACTGTTACGGAAATTCCTTACAGTTATGCTGACCGGGCGAAACAGATTGTGTGCCAGGCGGTTGTCAACGAGGATCCAAATGCTAAAGTCATCCGAGAACTTAAGGAAGAGGTCAGTGGTTTCGTCCCTATGGTGTTTTAAAGAATGCTAAAAAATTTTTAAATAAAAAAATGATTTTTTTATTTTTAAGTGTTGTACAACTATTACCATCTCAGAAACCTGGAATAGTCGTGATTTAACAGCAGTGTATCATTATCTTACGAACGTCAAATTTTGTCTACAGCTTCTTACCATACGATGATCACTGTTACTCGCTAGAGGAAAAAAAACGAAAAAAAAAGTTGAGGAATGTTTACGAATTCGTGACTAATCAACATGTTCCTTTCCACTGATGAGCAGCTGTGTGCCCTGAATTCAATGCGTACACATGAAGTGAGAAACAGCAACGACTGTATTCATTGCAGAAAGTCTTATTTTCACTTGTTTCTTTTACGACACAAACTTTAATATTTGTTTCATAGCAGTAGTTTTTCTAGTGTATACGTTTAACCTGTATAAAGGAATAAAAAGTAGAAGGAAATGTGCTTTTTAAACATTAAAATTCATAAGAAAAGCAGTTATTGGTACCAGTTTGTTTGTCTGCAATGGCGATTGCCCACCCTCTGCTGGGCAGTGTAGCACAGAAACTGTTTTCCACGAGTAAGGGAGTATATTATCTCTTCTGCTTGAGTGCATATCTGATACGAGCTTCGCGATGATACCTTACTCGGTCTACGTGTGGACTGACGTTGTTAATGAGAAAGCTGCTTGATCACTTGGTTTTAAGGGCGGGAACTTTGGCCGGTATGCATTGAGTAAAATACAAAACTCCTTTGACGAGGATCTGAGCACTATTGCGGATTTTTTAAGTCGCCAAGTGAATTAGAACTTGGCACTGCAGAGAAAAAAGCAATTTAAGTTATCGTAGGATCAGCTTAAAATGGTGCCCTTAATACTTTTAAACGGCTACTTTTAAAACTCGTGTATGTCCGAAGACATAATATCTTACTAACGACGGTTGTTTTCCTGTATTGCTTTAATTTACAAAGGCTTATGCCTTATAGGTGAACAAACTTCGCGCAATTTTGGAAGAGAAAGGTATCGACATTGCCGCTGACGAATTAAAGAATTCACAACCCGGTCGACCTCGTCAACTCTATTCGGCACGCGATCACGATACTATCGAGCAACTGAAGGTATGATCGTGGTGAACACCTATAGTTCGCTTTGGTCGAATTTCAAAGCCAAAGCTTTCCTTCGCTAACGGTATACAAGATTTCGTGGGAAACCGTTATTTTACACTCACAAAACTTCTACACATTTTGTCCACGTTGTTTTAAAAATTCTTTCTGAAAGTGTGTTTCGTTATGACGTTGTTATGCTTTTGAAGACACAACATGTTCCTAAAATTGTACAGTTCCCATGACAGCTTTTAAAAATTCACAAGACTTCAGTTCATCATTGAAACACTAGTTGTCTCCCTTTTTCCACCTGCAATTTGCAAATGGTTTCTTTCAGATCATTGCCTTCCATGGTGCTAAGTAGCTACCGTAATTTGTTCCTGACCTCTAGATCAGTAGCTTTAGTAGTATCGTTTAAATAGATTATTCAAATCTAATGGTCGGTATTCTTTTTAGCTATTTTTTGCTGTATTTTACGATGGAAACGCTTTGGACAGTGAACGATTACATGTCCTCCATTACTAATATTTTTCCTTTTGTTAAGTATGGTTAAGGTTTCTATGCAATCGTCAAAAAAGTGATAGACCGATTCCTATAAAAATTTGTTGCATCTCTTTCCATATACTTGCAGCGAAACCGAACCCAATGTGACGTACTTTTATTGCAGGCTTCAGAAAAGCTGATAGCCGAACTGCATGAGACATGGGAGGAGAAGTTGCGGAAAACAGAGGAAATTCGCCGCCAGAGAGAGGAGGAATTGCGTGAGATGGGTCTGGCAACCACTGAGGACGGCACTACTCTAGGTGTATTCAGTCCCAAAAAGGTGATTATATAAAATTGTTGTGGACAAAAACAATTTCAACCTAAATGAAATGTCCGAAATAGTAGAAAACGGTCATGCTTTAAATTCAGTCTGCTCTACATTTTGCTTCATAAAAGACTGGAAATATGCAGATACTACCATGTTCCGAGTTCTGCTAACTTTTAGCTTCCCCATCTGGTGAACCTTAATGAAGATCCCCTAATGTCGGAATGCCTTCTCTATTACCTCAAAGAAGGTGTCACTAGGTAAGGTTTCATTTTTATTATTCCCATTGTCTCGTGGTTATAGATGTTCTTTCATCGTGATGTTTAATCTTAAAAATTCCTGAGGCTTCCCCTGGTCGCAGAGAGGGTTTCGACGCGGATGAAAAGCCGCCACATATTTTCCTAGAGAACACCGAATTTCCAGCTATTCCTGCTTCTACCGTGCAGTATTGCCTTCCAACAATCAAGTGACTGAAAACTATTGTACATAGAGGGTGGTTTCACTTACCTCAAATGAATCAAACGTCACTTCGCTCCGCGAGGATGCAGGAACAAACTACGAGCACACTCGGCCGAACGGCAAATACTATCTGTGGGAACTTTCTCATAAAAAAAATAAAGTGCCTTAAAGTGTCATAACCGTAGTGATCCTTCAGAGATACGAACCTCAGACATTCAAAAAAAAAGACTACTGAGACCGACTCGGGCTGCTCAATAGTTGCGTGCTTTCAGTCCGCACAGATCTTGATCTCTATCATAATTATGACTGGTGAAGTTAGTCATCGTACTCGGATATTTGGATGGCCCGTCTTCGCTGGTTGTGCAGTCAGCATAATTTCCATTCTCCAAAATTTGCTGATTTAGCCATTATGGTTCTTCGGAGTCCTGAGGTTAGCCTAGCCAAAGTCTGCACTAGGTCCACCACAGGCAGTCGTCGCGGGTGATTTGCCACCATGCGAATAGTTTGATATCGGGACGGCTGTGAAACCTGGTGTTGGTTTACTGTTAGCTAGGTTTCCTCGTGGAAGCGCCGGCCTCGTTCTCAGCTTGGGAGACCTGCTCGGTAAATGAATCCCTTTGTTGTACATCGTAACACGACACTCAGGAACACCTCCCAGCCACGATGGGGCGATAAACCTTTGGGATGGAAAATAGTCATCACTGATTTCAATCAATTATTGATAAGGTTTTATTTTACTGCGTCATAAGCCCGGTTAACACTGCTGTTCTCAGCATATTTTACATCTGCTGACAAAAAATAGATAGTTCTTAATGACTACTTATATTGTAGCGTCGGTCGTCCTGAGGCTTCGAAACGTCCCGATATTCTTCTATCCGGTCAGGCAATCCTTGAGCATCACTGCGATTTCATAAACGACGACGGCTGTGTAAGCCTTGATCCGCAAAAGGTGTTTTCTTTTCAACTTTCGATCATCACAGTCTTTGTTCATGGATGTTATTGGTGAGATTTAAAACCTATAAGATGTAGTTTTCTCCATTGAATTCTGTTCACTAATGGTGAGAAGTCAATTTACGAACCAGAAAAGCTGCAGTAGTTCTATGGTTTTGCAGGATGCACAGTGCTTTGTGAATGGTCGTCCGATAACCTGCGTTACAGTGTTGCACACGGGTTCTCGAGTAATTCTAGGGAACTATCACGTTTTCCGTTACAATGATCCACAGGAGGCAAGGCAGAGTAGACATAACCTGTCCTCTTTAAATGGTGCGTCATCTTACACCATTTTGTATTCTGCGTAGTTTACGTGCGTAATTTACGTGCTTAAGTTAGTACACTCACCGTTAGCTTTTCTGCCTCTCCTGTTGTAGCTGTTGGAAGTGACCCCGAAACTTTCTTAAACTTTCTAGTAGCTTTATTGCAATGTTTTGGCTAAAACTGTTCAGCTAGCATGTAGCAAGCAATCCTACGCAGTTATCCGTGAGTAGCCATGTGCACAGAAAGTATAAGTCATTCTGCGCAATAGAGATATGATGCAACCCGTTCACTATAACTGACTGGAAATCATAGCAAGACGGGGTTGCTTTTAATTCTTCCTCGTCTTACATTCTGACTTTCACACGCAATGGCTCTCTTTTGTAAAGCATTACGTAAAAGAAAACTGTGGAACTTTGCAATACATGGATATTTAGACAGTAAGTACCTACACCTTCAATTACTTTCGATCTGGTGCAATCATCATCTTTGTTTATGGATTCGACTGCAAATTTGGAATTTGTCATCTTATCTTTTCGTTGAAATTTCGAGTGCTAAATGAGTCTAGTTTTTCTCAGAATTCTGATATGGCCATACTAGGTTGTTCGCAGCTCTTCACCACCAACAGTTACCTAACCTAGTGAATGTGGACGGGATCTATGAAAATGGGATGATGGAGAATCTAGTGATATCCATTAGGGTAAATGAGCAAATATAACAAACAAGACTGTTTGTCTGTACTTCCTCACCAATTCCTTACTGCTATGGAACCTTCAAATTTTCCAGCCTTTTTAAAAATAGCTTTTTAAGTAAATATTTTCAAAAGTTTCGTGAAATTAATCTTCATCAATGAAAACTAGAACTGCTGCTGGAGGAACTATTGCTGGAAAGATCAACACTGCATTTATATTTAATGTGACTAGACAACGAACGAATCATGCGGTATTCAACGTTTTATCTTCACTGAATTTATGGGAACTTCGGATAATTCATTGCTAAAAGATATGGTAGAATTTCAGCACGTTGGAGACGTCAACAGAAATAAGACCGTAGTGAAAGAGAGAGCAAAACGCTTTCGAAAGTTTATTCTTAAATATCGAAAGAAAGAAGCATTGCCATTGCAAATAACCAGGGAAAGTTGTTTCTGAATAGTCCTAATTCCAAAATCACAAAGTTTTTATCTACCAACCTAAGACGTAATTTGTTGCCACTACCTGCTTGCTTTCTAGACTTATTGTTTTCCATCTCAAAGTTTAAGCGAGGTAAAGTTTATTAATGATTTTAGAAATGAATAATGGCTCGTTCTAAGCTTTTCCATAACTACACTTAAATACTGCTTGTTTTAAGGATACTGTATCTTCATAAAGTGTCGTCCATGTGGGCATTTTTATCAAAACGAGTACGAAATCCTAATGAGATGAGCAGATAGTTTGGTGCAGTCCTTTACCGTCTTCCTGAAATAAAATCACTCCAAAAGTCTCATAATCCTCATTTTAGGCTCTTCATATATTCCTGTTTCATATATCTTGCTCCGTCCTACTTCTAATTACCCATATTCATTTATGTTACTCATTTTAGAGCAGCCACTGGATTGGAAATATGCACAGCAGGAATTGCTGGAAAAGCAGGGAATCGATCTGAAAGCGGAAATGGAGAAGAAACTGCTTGAAATGGAAAGCCAATACCGACGCGAACGCGAGGAACTCGAATTGAAAATGCTTCGTCAGACAAAGGTTAGCCACTTGTTCAATTCTCCTTCAATGTTACGACAAGACCACTTTAAATCCCTTCCATTACTATTCCTATGTCAGTTCTATAGTTTTCAAAGACCGGTTTTTATTTGACGTCAGCATTACTATTCAGTATTTAGTTTTATCGATAAGCTCGCATAGAGTTGTCACAAGACCCTGTTGTGACCGACAAAATTTTCTTGAATAGTCTTGTGTAAGCTCACCAAAGCATCAAAATACTTATAAATTTCTTCCCCAAAAAGTGATTTAATATCATAGATCCGGCAGATTGTTTGCCTTTTTAAAGAAAGTATTATGATAAAGTGTCAATAGAAAGACAGTTTCCTCCTTGGATTGGTCCAAATAATAGTTGTACAAAACTAATGCTGTTCTATAGCGAACTCATTAGTCGAATATGCATGTTAGCCATGGATTTCTTCGATATCAATCAAAGCACTATTCTTTATCCTTTACAACTTGTATACGAAAGAGAATTCGTGTGAATTTATTTAAGTAGGTCCTCAGGCAGTTATTTCCGCACCTATGTGTAGCCCAATCCCTCATCATGCAAGAGGAAGAAAAATAATGCATTTTTTCCGTTTTGTTTCCTACTCTTTTCGATTTTTGCGGATTGTGGTACTCTCATATTCACATCCCTTTATAACTTAAATTTGAGCACATACGTTGATTATAGTGGCTCCCAATGGGACAAAGCTCGTCAGGTCATGACAGTGCCGAATAGCCTCTAGATCGAAATAGATGCTCGACTTCGTACAAATCTACTACGCAGGATCTTTTGATATCGCCACATAGAAAAATCTCAGACTTGGTCGTTCTTCCAGAAGAGACAAAGCCGCTGCTGGACATGGGAGTTTTCCAACGGCATAACTCATGGGGATATCGACCATATCCTGACAAATAGAAGATGGTGCCTACTTGACACATCGGTAGTCCCGTCATTCTGTACTGGTTCCGATCACCGCCTTCTTCGCTCAAGTAAGAAGATCGAATCGCATCTCCATCACTACTAAGGAGCTGCTCGAAGAAAGAAGAAAACTGAAGCTTGATCCTACTGCAACACGTTTAACATGGCTAGGAATAAATGCCAGCTGCAGAAGAGATTTCAGAAAGATCTACATCGGTACAAGCAGAAGAAACTACTGGAAGCAGCAGAGAAAAGAAGCAGTCTGGAAAAATGCCATCGGGACTTGTGTGATTATGATGCTCCGCTGTCAGCCTTGACGAACGACGATGGGATCGTCAAAACTTTCCGCCATGATGTGGAATTAATAGCAGAAACATTCTATACCAACGTTTTCCGTTCCGCAATCCCCATCCCGGACTATAATATCTCCGCTGGAGAAAAGCCACCTGGAATTCTTCCATCGGAGGTTCGAGTTGCGATAGAAAGCATGAAAAGAGGCATAGCTGGAGGACACGATAATATCACTGTCGATTTCCTTAGAGCTGGAGGCCACAGTTTACATGTACTTCTCGCAGATTATTTGACAGACTATCTTTAAAACGAAAAAATCTCAGACCAGTGGAGGACGTCACGTACGGCCATCCTGCCTAAGAAACGAGACCGAAGTGACCTTCGTAGCTATCGTCCCATATGCTTACTAAGTGCGCTCTACAAGCTCTTCACGAAGATTATCCTTTCGCGCATACCAGGAACATTGGGTGAGGCACAACCAGTCGAGCAAGCAGGATTTCGAAGAGAATTTTGTTGCATGGACCACATCCAGACCGTGCCCAGGGTCATCGAAGTTTGTCGGGAATACCACTTGCCTCTAATCCTAGCCTTTGTCGACTATGAGAAAGCGTTTGATAGTGTCGAAACGAATGCAATCCTATCAGTGCTCTTCGACTAAGGAGTGGACCCGTCTTTCATAAAGACTCTGTCCGACTGTTATCGAAACTGCACTACGAAAATACAGCTTTTCCATCGACCTCTTACAATACCCATAGGAAAAGGGGTTCGACAGAGCGACACAATATCGCCAAATCTGGTCAGTGCCGCACTGCTGTGGATAATGAAGTCACTCGATTGGGATGAGAAAGGCATACGAATTGATGGAAAATTTTCATCAAACCTTCGTTTTGCCGAAGATATTGTCATCTTCTCAAGAAGTACTAGCGAAGCAGACGTGATGATCAACGAGCTCAACGAAGCGGGGAAAAAGATCGGACTTCGCCTATATCGAAAAAAGATCCAGTTCATGAAAAACCCATGATCCGAAGGCGAAAAAATTGAATGCAGAGACCACCTCGTATGTTTACCTTGGGCGATCAATAAACATGGAAAACAACATGAACGAGGAACTAGATAGAAGAAGGAGAGCAGCTTGGGCCGCATTCGGGCCTCTCAAAGAAGCCACCGACCAACTGAAGGACCCGAAAACCCGCGCTCATCTTTTTGATTCTACGGTCCTCCCGGCGCTCTGTTATGCTGCAGAGACGTGGGTTGATACTTGAACCACATCAAGAATTATTCACACTACTCACAGAGCGCTTAGGCAATGTCTTTTGAAATATAACCGGCGCTCTCAATATCTTGCCGGAATGCGAAGCTTTGACCTTCGAACTCTGTCACATCGTCGAGATCCAGGAGAATATACATCGACAGCGAAATTTAGATGGGCCGGCTACATAATGAGAAGAACAGACGACAGATGGACGAAAAGAACAGTAGACTGGACACCAAGAGAATGCAAACGTCCCCTAGGACGACCGCGCACACCTTGGGCGCACGTGTTCGTAAACAAAGTTAATCAACTGTACTTGCAGCTGCAGTTGTTTTACAGATCATGGTATAAAACTCGCAAGCGCTACCATGCTCGAACAAGACCACCACCATGGGCTACGATTACGAGAGAACGGAACGAATGGCATACGTGCTGTCTTCCGCACAGCTCGTGAAGACGGACCATCCGAGTATCGAAGTATCCAAGTGTATACGATACAAGTAATGTAAGTGCTATGAACCATAAGAAGATAACAGGATTAACATGCAAGGGTAGAATAATAGGATAAATCATCAGTCAGATCTCACTCAGTGCCATAGTGATGTTGAGATATTTGCAATTTTCCGCACCGCTGATGTCTGCGTGGGGACTGAACACGCTCTTACCTTTCCAAGGGCTAGCGCATTCACCACCACACTATGTTTTGTTAGTTTTATAGAAGTCTTCAATCTCTATGTTTATCACCTGTTTTTATTGGGTTGAGAATTATCTTTCCTGCGGTGGAAATGGCGGAAAAGGATTTTTTCTGGAGAATTGCTCCCTGTAGTCAAATTATTTAGGAATACGAAACTCGCATCGAGAATCTTCAGCGGCAGGTCGATCTGGCTCAGTCTATGATCAGCTCATGTGGCTCGGGATGGGAAGGAGAACGCTTTCTTACTAGCTCCCTTATGGAATTCGGTAATCAACTTTATGATTACTTTTAGAGGAAATACTTTTATAAGCACTCGCCATCCACCATTTTTCTGTAGTTCTGATATAGTTGGGCTAAATCCTTCTTTGGTCGTCTAAATAAATGGCTGTAACCGAGCACAATTTTAATATGAGTACAACTTGCATTCTTAGTTGTGCATCAAGCCTACTTTTCTTAGCTACGGCTCACGTGCTATCCAGCACATCAACCGAGGCCTTGCTTTCTCTTTCTGTCAGCGAATTTTCCACTCTATCAGAGCTATCAGCAACCAGTTATCTGCGGAGCACAGATCGGCATTGAACCTAGTTAAGCTAAAGCTGCAGTTAAAATCACAATGTCCTGAGTTTTATTATTACCTATTCTTTTTCATGGAGATGTACGATGTGAACTGCAACCACAAAGATACTGAGATGTGAGCAAAACTCGTAACCTCACGTAGACTTTGAACACACAACTACCCTTACCAGGGGATCACGTGCCACCACACAAATTACACAATTATATAATTTGTGCATATTTATAGCGTAAATAAGTTTTTTTGGTATGTGCGTTTAAAGCCGTCTAGTGTTAAAAGTTGTATTTTCTGACTAGTTTTCTTTCAAGTTGAGGAGTGTAAGTGGACGTCTGACCAGGAAACAGTGGCTCGGAAGGCTGCCATCAAATGGAGATATCACCAGTTTACTTCGGTAATTTTCAATTTCGTTTTCTTTATTCCTTATCTTCTAAACCATATAGCACTCTCGATAGTCGCCTCTGAAGAAGTGGAACACAGAAGTATCTTTTTTTATTTGTTTCTTAACGACATTTCTGTGTGGTTTCAATTTCTTTACAGGTTCGTGATGATTTGTGGGGTAACGCTATTTTCGTCAAAGAGGCAAATGCTATTTCTGTCGAACTGAAGAAGAAAGTACAATTTCAGTTTGTTCTACTTACGGATACTATGTATAGGTTTGTATCAAAGTAATTGTAATACATTTTTCCTACATTCTCCCAACGGTTTACCGCCTCATCTTGGCTGCGCGGTGTTCCTGGATGTCGGACTGCGGTGTACAGCGGGCGGATTCGTCCTCCCGGCAGGGTCTCCTAAGCTGAAGATTTCGGCGTTTCCATCAGGAAGCCTAGCTAAGAATAAACCAATACCAGGATCCACCACCATCCTGGTATCAAAGCGGCATGGTGGCAAATATCTCTGATCCAAAAGGTGCGACTGCCTGTGGTGGTGAAGACCTGGTGCAGACTTTGACCAGACTGACCTCGGGATTCCAGGAAACCACAATAGCTTAACTGGCAAATCTCCGAAAATGGTGGTTATGCTGGGGTCCGCACAACCAGTGAGAATGCATCGTTCAAGTATCAAGTAAGTAATTGTAATACGTATTTCTTATACGACCCACGCTTCACGTCGACTCTGCCGATGCCAACACTTCTCACATCCGATCCGTTTCCTCGCACCCATCATCCACCAGTGTCTTCCAACTTTTCATATGTGAGTTCGGCTGCTGCTTGAGGGTTGTGGTCTTTTTATGGGTGTCGTTGAATAGTGGTCGAGTTGATTCGGTTTGGAGTGCTGAGATAGCCGAACTAGATCGTTGCTAATTGGACTGCAGAGAGCGATTTTTTCTGCGACAAATCGGGTACCAATTTTCCAACGGCGGGAAAAGCTTGGTGAGCCCGGAGCGGGTTCGAGCTAGCACCGTGGTCGTGATGATCGGCATCACCAACATTGTGCGATCTGCCTCCTATAACATGTATTAGATCGATATTCATTTTACAATCAGGAATATTTACTTACCTAGGTGCTTGAGTGGCCCATTATCACGAGTCAGGAAAAAGCGTTTGTACACCAGTTTCCATTTCTTCTACAATTTGCTGATTCTGCAAAATTTTTTTTTCATTGAGTCTCGAAAACTGCTAACTTTCTCGACATGAAAAATAGTTGTACGAAATGCACTATGATGTGTATTGCTTTGAACATCTCCCTAATATTCATCGAATAATTGGAGCAGGCCTCTGTGGTATGCCAGGGTTGCAAAGTCGCTTTTGTTTTTTCCAAAGACGTGAAAGGTTACATTTTAACTCGAGATCTTCGTGTTTTGAGTTGGTAATCTTCCTATTGGCTCTTTGACACCTTATCCATAAGGGCTTTTATCCACCAGTGTCTTTAAGACGTAGTCTTTCCAGCTGATCTGCTTTTCGACATTTTGGCCCATACAGCAACGTTTTTGATCATTGCATATCGATGTAAGTTGAAATTTCAGGTTAGATCTTTCAATTGCTTGATACGACTGATATAGCGTCTTTTTCGATCTTCAACCTTATGAGGCGGTGTTATCATTTTTACGTAGCGTGCAGGTCTCGGAGGCATTCCTATTTTTTCACCGTTGTGAGTTTCCCTCCTAGATATGCTTACTAGAATTCTGACTCTTCCATTGCTTAAATGGATGCAGTACGTTTTTCAGTGTGGCACCACAAGGTGGATAAGTTCGGCCTTTTAGTTAGCCAAGTCAGTGCAGGTCTCGATAGTAATCATCATAACTGAACTGAATGTCAAACCCACTCCTCTTTTTGTTCAATCCGGTTCTTGGTTTTCTTGGTGTGAAGATTGCAAATCGTTCTCAAAAGCCTCGTCTGATGATTAAATAGCCAGCTGTGCGCTTCTAAACACTTTTCCTTACCAGTGTAACTCCTTCAAGTGCGCTGAAATGAATTAATCTTATGCTCATGTAGTTTGATGTTAGTAAATTGTCAATATGACATTGAACTACATTATTTTAGTCTATGCAAGTCATTATTCGCTCGAAAAAATCGTTTTTCGTTCTTAAACTAATGGCCCGAACTTCGTCAACTCGTCTATCTTCGCTATTCCGCTAAACAATTGCTAGGTATGATAAACTATGAAGGAAGTTATGACTTATCCTCCGAGTCATTGCAACGACATTACGCTAGATTTTCATAACTTATGTCATCATAAAGATGTCTAAAGCAGTTTCGGACACAGATGTTCGTGGACTGTTAGTTCAGTTCATCGCCATGGTCACTCCATGTTTTCGTTGTCCTCAGGAAAGGCTTCGAGATTTTCGAAACTTGTTCTTGCTGAGGACGGAGCTCTTCATTTTTGTCATTTTTGTTGGTTGGAATATAGTCCTAGGCTGTCACTAGATGTGGAGTTTCTGTCGGAGGTGACCACGATCTCGCTCTCCGCAGAAAACCTCATCTCTCACCACTTTATTGTGGATTCTTGGCGAAATATCGGTGCAAGATATAGTATGATCCACATTCACACAAGCATCAGTGCAGATGAATATAATTGTGTGTATATACTTATCTAATTACTTGGACCACCTGTCTTCATGAGTTGTTTGGGGCCCAGGACATCTTCCACTCGCTCCTTTGTCTCGCAATCGTCGTCCATGATAGGAGTTTGATTCGAGCATGTTGAGCGGTGCACCACTAACACCACGATTTGTAAAACAACTGCAGCTCCGAGTACAGCTGTTTGACCGCAATCACGAACAAGTCCACTCAACGTGCAGATGGTCGCCCTAGAGAACGCTTGCATCCCGTGGACTCCACTCTATTTTTCGTTCTTTTTCGCCCATCTGTTTTTTCTTCGGCATATATATATATATGTATATATATATGTATATATATGTATGTATATATACATGTATACATGTGATATAAATAAAACGGCTACAGCAGAAATACGCAGTCTATCTCTTGAACACTTGAGTTATTCTTCTATAAATTTCAAATATGAACTAACACATAAGTATTTTGGTTTTTATCCACGTTTTATACGTTGAAAACCTATGTAATCTCAATTCGATGGTCGTTTTGATTGATTCCAGTCCTTTACCGCCTGATCTACTACCGCCTGGAGAAGACCTAACACTACGCCCCTATCCCAAGACAGTGGTCGCAATTCAGGTACAAGATCTGAAGAATGGCGCTACTCACTACTGGAGTATCGAAAAGTTGAAGTAAGGACAACTTAAGCTTCGTATTACACATAATACATGGTATTTCTTATATTTTGGATCATTTATTTTATTTTTTCTCTGACATCGTCATCTCAGCAGCCCACACTCGATGTGCACTCGACGTATATCAATTGAGGCAACGCTTTGATTTACAGAAATATTAAGTCTTTTATTTTTTAGCTAAGTGGGATTGATGTTTAGCGGACTAGCTAAAAGCAAAATTCAATGGTTTCTGTTAGAAAATTCCTACTCGTTATATTTTTCATTTGTTCCTAGTCATGTAAAAGTGCATTTAAGCTTTCCGAAAGAAAGAAAAACTCTACAACATGGTCTTCTCGGATCGTCAATTCTGACCATTCTCTTTATATTGCCATCATTTGGGTTCCACAAAGTGCTGATGCTATTATTTGTTTATATTTTTTATTTTATTTTAAACGACCCGTCTTTCATATTTACTACGCGGATCCCAACACTTCTCACATTCGATTGGTTTCCTCGCATTCGTCATCCACGAACGTCTTCCAACTTTCATGTGTGGCTTCGGCTGCTGCTTGAGGATTGTTGCCTTCCTTATGGATGTCGTTGAATACTGGTCGAATCGATTCGCTTTGGAGTCCTTAGATGATCGAGCTAGTGCGTTCCTGGGTTGCAGAGAGTGATTTTTCCTCGGACAAGTCCGATGCCAACTTCCCAACCCCGGAGGAATGAGAGACTTGGTGAGCACGGAGCGGGATCGAATTAGCACCGTACTCGTGATGATCGCAATCACTACCACTGTGCTGTACGTCTTTGCCGGTATCGTTAGGTGAAATGAATTGTCATTAAAATCAAGTGCAATATTCCCATGACTGAAAAATCTCCCGTTTGTAGAAAAAAAGCGTTGTCAGGGTTTATATGTTGACAGCAAATCCATGGTGATAGGTGTTTCAAATCAAAAGTTTTTCGGTCATTTACAGCCAATAGAGGAGAGCAGGCTCGACGAATGGATAGCGAGCAAACTCACAGACACTCACAAATTTTGGAGGTAGTCCCGAAGTTGAGAAGCTTTGTACATCCATAAAGGGAACTGGAATGAGCGTGCTGTATTTGCATGGGAGGATCCTCGCACCGTGTCAAGTAACGATGAAATAGGAGAAATTTATGCACCGAAATATATGGAATTGCTATAAAAAACCAGAGAAACAAATTCTGTGTAAGAGTAAGTAGTCAGTTAAGTCGACAAGATAGCTAATCCTTCAGGATAAATTTCTCCATCAGTTTCGGGATATGTGATCAACTACACATTTATGAACTTTAATGGCTCTAACTCTTTGGCAGTTAACTATGTATATATGATATTTCGTTTTGCGACGATTTGGAGCCTCTTATTCAAGTTTATTGAGTGTCGAAGCCTTTCTACTCCTTAAATTCACTCAAGGGAAAATGCCATTGACTTAAACGCGAGGTTAGCACTAAGGCTATTGTTCGCGAATGATTTCAAATAATGGAGTTTTATGATCCTAACCTATAATCAGTGTGTAGTCTATTTGGCAAAACCGTCATCCGACCATCTCACTTTAAAGTGGATTGTTTACATTTTTCCATCACGTATTCCTCCTCAGCGATGTTATTATTAAATAAAGAACTCCATGCATGCATAGTCTACTTCGGCTACCGTTCCGCTGCAGTTAACTCTTATAGGCAGCGTTTGGAAGATATGCGTAGTTTCTACAATGCCGAACTGTCCGTGGTTGGCACTCCTGCTGATGCACCGTATAAAACGGTAGCTGAGGGATGGCTAGCCGCTCTACAACTGAATCCTGCCCGACTTGTACCCGACAGGTACGGTATCGCGTGCGGTACCAGAAAACCTCTGTATTCTGCTTTTCTCTAAATCTGCACTGCATGCTCTTCCAATGGTTGTTCTATGTTTCCTTCAGTCGTATCTAAAGAAATATGGACTCAGTTATATATGACAAATCATCACCAATGAGCCTTTCGTGACCAACGTGCTCGTTCGTTCAATGCATGGCTTTCGAATAACTATGCGCTAAACCCGTCATGCGTACTAAATTTATTGACAACAGTACTAGCTAAAAGACGGTTTAGAAGTATTCGTGTGGCATGAGAGTAGAGGAGAACAAAACTGAAAACGAATGTTTATTTTCAGACAACGTCTTGAGTCGATGAGGGAGATGTACAGTGCTGATCAACTGAGTCCTTCTGAAGATCCGATGATGGACGCATTGATGGGAACCGATCCCTTTTACGATCGGTTTCCGTGGTTCCGTATGATTGGCAGGTGAATTTTTTTCTTTATTGTAACACACACTAAGAAATGTTTAGAAGAAAACACTGCGAATGGCTTTAATATGGCAGAGACAAAAGTTGGTAAATAGTTCTAAAAGGAAACCGAAGACTGCATATGCAAGTGAAGTAATCTTCCGCTGCTTTAACGATTAAATCTGATAGCATGTTTACTTCCCTCCTTTCCATGGGATATTGAATTTTAATTACCCAACTTCTTTTTTATCGGGGAATAAGAAGAACACTAGTGGCGTTTCTTTTCATCAGCATTCCATTTTGAGAGGTAATTTTCTGCATCGTTGTTTGTTTTTACCAAAGGAAAAACGCGGGTTATGAGTAATGCAGTGCAATAACAGAGATACCTGGTTGAAACCCATCTGGGGGTTTTGAAGCCTCACGTGCCTCCGGTGTCAGCAGATTGGAGCCACTGTTGTCTTGATAGCTCCGTCCGATCCGCATATTTGCTGGTAGTCACACAATGTGTCGTGTTCGACCATGTAAAAGATTGGAAAACGTTCAAATTTGAAACCATCGCTTGCTGAAAAGTGGTTTTTTTCAAACCACGCTATACCACTAAGATATATCAGCCATTCCCAACTCATGTGATAAGTTCATAGTCGGCCAGTTATTATGCTTATGATTTTTGGAACACTTTCAGGTAAGTGACTACGTCCTTTGATTTGTTTCAGGGCATTCGTCTATCTTAACAATCTTTTGCATAATGTTCCGTTGGTGCACAAAGTGGCTATAGTCAACGAAAGAGGAGAAGTTCGTGGTTATCTGAAAGTGGCTATCGAACCGGTTAACCCACGTTAGTATGATTTGATTAACTATACATTTATTTTTACTTGATCACTACTAATTTCCTACTACTTCTGTTTAGCAAACACGAGGTGTTATTTTATTTCTTTATTTACGCGCAGGATAACGTTTCGGCAGATTTCGCCTTCCTCAGAGTCTGGAAAGTCAAGTTGACAGCAATCTATTGAACCAAACACCTCCATAACCAGTTCCATATTTGCTGAACAGAAGTAGAAAGAGTTATTCAGTCAATGCCGAGGTTAATAGAAAGTCGGATGTGGGAATTTAAATTTGTTTTCCCACTTTTAGAAGTTTTGATTCTAGGCGGATTTAAAAATAGAGTAATGTTCCATAAAAAAACTTCATATACACTTGGAAGCAATAGGGAAAGATTTATTCAATAAGTCTGTAACGCAATGGTCGGTTGCGTCTAGCAATATGTATAGGATCGATCCCGGCGCCCTAGGATCACAAGCCTTCCATCCCTCTCGGTTCGACAAATTGTTACCAGACTTGTCTAGGGGGAAAGCAGCACTGACTTGATACATCGGTAGACCACCGTGAGTCATTGTAAAGGCCAGATATGCATTCAATTACCTCCAAACAATGCCTAGTGAAGTCGAATGCATGGTGCATCCCATCAACGCCGAGAACTTTCTCCTTTATCCTTTAAGTCGGCAAACTACTTGTGAACTTTATCACTCCATTAATGCAGAAATTATTGCCGATGTCAAAAAACCAGCTTCGTCGCAAATATTTAAAAATGGTTTGTTAATTTATCTATTTTCTGCCTTCTAATTTGACCCGGTAATGCATATTGTTCTGGTTTCGGCACTTTTTTCGTTCGATTCTTTTCCTTGCTTCCATAATTCGCGAAGGTCCAAGGATATCCGCATAGACTCGGCAGTGACTTGCAGATTTTTGGTTTTCTTCATGAATTACCTTAAGTTTTGCTTTGGTCAATTCTTCATGGAATCCCAGATTAGGCATGCTGGGAAGTTCTCAGGTCTTCATCGTAGACAGGCGTTATGTTCACTGAGTTCGAAAGTGAGAAGTGACACCAAGCAAATTTGGTAACCGTTTTCTAACACCGAATTTACGGGAGGTTTTCTTGGTTTGGGAAAAGTTCGAGTCGTGCGATTGCGCGTCTTGAGAGTCACTTTCACCACTGCATTTCCACCACCTGGAAGTAGTTTACAAGATCAAACTGCGAACAAAATAAATATTCGGATTGTAACTAAGATGATACTGAGATATTTGCAAAACTCCGGACCGCAGGCGTCTGCGGTGAGGAACGAACGCGCTATTGTTCTTTCCGATGAGTAACGCGTTAACCACCACACCATGCGTGTCCTTCGTTTCGCCTGTCTCTCAGCTAGCTCAATCGATTAGCGTCATCAATCACTTGTCAACGGGATTGATCTAGGGAGTCCAATTCGGTAACGAACCCAGTTAAGCTGAGGTTACTCCCCGGAATGGACAATAGCGCGTTCGCTCCTCACTGCAGACACCTGCGGTCCAGAATTTTGCAAATATCTCAGCATCATCTTAGTTGTATTTCACATCATACCCTGCCGTTAAAAATTATAATAAACAGTGAATAAAAAGGTTAAGATTCGGATTGTAATCACCCAGAGATGTGCTGAGTCACGTAGCCAAATTCCGTTGTTCTATAGTATATCCGAGATAATGTGTTTAGAAAAGATGGACATGCAGAAAAAAGGCGTTCGACAAACGGCGAAACTGCATTTCCGCAAGGAAGATTTCTTAAAAGCTTGTGGGAATAGTCAAAACGAAGGTAGATGCAGTTTTTACTTTTTTGATCTGCTTTATTTGAGGCTTTTCTTTCTTTTCTTTTTTTCTCTCTTATTTGTTAAATTCAGCAGTTTAATTATCTTACCAAGTTTGCAAATTGTTTGAAAGTAAGCAGATTTTCTGACAACTTTTTTATGGCGGCGGTTCATGGAAAGCTCGCGATCTTTGCTAGATACGGTGGCATTCTCGTAATTTATTCCGTTACAACTTTCTAACATGACGTTATGCCTTTATAACTGTTGTTATAACTCTATAAATTAACGTTTTTAGAGTATGAAGATCATGACTAATTCTGTTCCTGTTATTTATAACAGTTTCCTTCTTTTCTAGATGAAAGCCAGCACTTAATATTCCCATGCCACATGAAAGAGGACGAAGAGTTCTGCTTCAGTGTGATGGTCCAGCAGGCGATCGATGTTTCTGAGCAGTACTCAGACGTGTTCTGCCAGTTCAAGTTAGTGCGTTGGTGCACTGCTATACATTCCGAATAGTTTTATGGTGTTCCTATTCTATCTGAAATATCTTCCGTCTGATTACTGTCTTTTACTTAAGTGTCCAATTCCTTTCTTAAGCATTTTTTGTTCTGGTTATGCCTTTTGCGGGTTTTTTTTCACCATTTCTCGTCATGAAACTTTTTTTAAACTGAAACCTTTGTGCACCATCAATAGAGAGACGTCTACGAGAACCGCTACTCCTTGTACGAACCGTCTCCTGCATAGTATTGGAAGGCTGTCAAAATCTAAAAAAGTACAAAGCAAACAAATCGAAACAAAAAAGGAGAAACAAAATAACAAGACAGTTCAATTTAGTTTTCTACATCGTCATGACGAAGCGTTTTCAACGGAACCATTGAAGAATACCGGTCGAGCACCGTTATCCTTCTCTCATTCACAAAATCTGCACATAAAGATGAGCCACACTTTTCTTCACTATCTGCACCACTTTCCCATCATTTTCGAGGTTTTCCTTAATTATTTTCATTTATTTGGTCTGATCTCTCTTTCATATGTTTTCTCAGTTTTGAGTATGCCAATCTTAAATTCAATCCATCAAGTCGTCAAAGTAGTTTAAGGACCGAAAAAAAAAACTGAAAATCAAAATGGAGTATGTACTAGGCAAGTAGTTATTTCTAGTGCGGATGGAAAAGCGCTGACAACATCCAATTTGCTTGATTTCTATATAAGATTGACACAACTTTAGTGAACTAAATCCAGGTATTTGGACATTTCCAACAGAAACCGGAAGGGTTCCAGTTTGAAAGGCAGCACAGCGCTATAGGGTAAGAGTTTTAAAGCTTTATAAGTTGTGTTGAATAGCAAATCAAATTTTAGATTTTATTTTTTAGCCGTAAAATGTCCACGAAGCTGTCGTTCCAACAACCTTCGTTAGTGATCTCTACACCTGTAAAGAGTAAGAAGGCGAATGTACCCGTCCAGAACAGGTACAGTATTGTCTACTTGATATTTTAATGTTTTAAAAGTTCGGCTTTATAAAAGTGGAGTATTTGCTCCCGACATATTTCCTGGCTCATGTAGCGGAATAATTAGAAATGCCAAACGATATAACAGAATCAGTTCTTCGACCTAGTTTCCTTGTCTAACTAAACTCTCATCCTTCTGAGTGGGTAAATTGTTACAAAACTTGTTTGGAAGAATAAAAAACCATTGATTTGATGCATCGGTATCCGTAAGCTAAGTATGCATCCAGTCAGGTCTATGATGCTGCGCGCTTAACTCCTTATCCTTTAACTTTTTAAGTAACCTTTTTCTCTCTTCAGCCATGTTAACTATGCAAAACTGCGAATCACCTGAAAAATTTGTTAGCTACCTCTGCAGAGGATCAATTAAGAAGATAGCCACGAGAACTCAAGACATTGTGGGATACATCACATCGTCTTTTCAGAGATTTTAAGATACGGTCGAGCTCTAGAACATATGCAAACCAGTTTCGTTGGTAAGCAGGCATATGGTATGTGTATACTTTCGAAGCTGTACATTATCCATTGTGAATGACAGCTTGAAACGAGGAATAATTAGGAACTAAAGTTACTCAAGCTCGCTTCTGTGAGAAACGTCGGTAAATTCCAAAAGAAAATGTACTTTCATACTTTTAGTCCCTCTTCATGAACTCATGCGATTTCCATCGCACCTTCTAGTTGACTGGCAACTCCCTGGTTGGACAAGATCTTTCTTCCTGAGTGTCTAGAGCTGACCATCTTAGGGTTTTCTCAGGTCGTTTCCACAGGCGCTCTTCTACACTTTCGAATCGAGGGAAGCTCTGCTGTTTTGTGACATGGTTGTTAGCTTAACGGCTGTGATTGCTTGGCAATCATTCAGTCGTAGCTGGATTTCCGGATAAAATCAGAGTGCTCAGCTCGAAATATCTTAACTATGGACTAAATGCTCGCTTATATCGAACACTTTCCAAGTGGTAAAGCGTTGGGAGAAAGCATAGGAGGATTCCTTAACTTAATAAACTGGTTAAACAACTTAATGTTAATACTACTGCAATGAATCACATGTAGCATTGCTGTATGCATAGTATGCATGTTGCATACATTGTATGTATGCACTGTTTTACTGTTCCTTACTCGTTCTTTGATGATTTTTTGAAAAGTTAGGTTAACATAGGGGAATAAATATTAACCGCCGATATTCTGCAAGTTTCGGTGATAAATATCGTGCTCTCCTGTATTCGAGGGTTATTTATGTCATTTAGAATATTAGACAAATAGAACACATATGACCATAATGAGGCATTTGCAAAACTCCGGACCGCCGGTGTCTGCGATAGGAACCGAACATGCTATTACCCTTTCCGGGTGCTAACGCTTTCACCACCACATCATTCAGCTTAACTTGGTTCATGCCAATTTGTGCCCCTCGGATCAATACCGTTGACGGTTGATTGCCGATAGTGCTTATAGGTCAATGACACGGCTGAGAGACAGACGAAACGAGGAACTAGCATGGTGTGGTGGTGAGAGCGTTAGCCTCCGGAAAGGGTAACAGCTTGTTCGGTTCCCACCGCGGACACCAGCGGTCCAGAGTTTTGCAAATATCTCAGCAACATTGTGGTTATGTTTCACAGAGAACGCATATGGTACATGAATATTTTCCAACAAAATTTATCTTATGATTTTAAAAAATGATTTTGGAAAGGCACGGAAAGGTGAATGAGACATACCTTTAATATGTTATATACTTCAGCACGACACAAATTCGTTCGAAAACAGATCTTTTGGTTTGGTTTGAAATTTGTGAACTAGCTGGAAGTGGGGATTACGTGCCAGCGGTGGTCGATCATGCGCATGGGTTACCCACTCATGGAATTTTCCTTCTACATCAAGGAATCCAGCGTAGAATAAAGATAACTATCTGTCATGAGAGGGTTCGTTTTTTCTGGCATTCTATACTTTTCTTATCCTCTTTATAGTCAGTCATAATTCGTCACAGGTGTTCCTCTTCGTCGCAGGTGACGTAGTCTCACAGTTGTTTTAAATAAAATTGACAAAAATCTCATAAGTGGATATCTTTTCCTTATTTCGTTTTATTTTGTCCTTCATGTTTTTTTCACTCTGTTTCATGTGTGTTCCTCAAGATTAGAGCTAAGGAATCTAGCTATGTTCAGGGAGAAATCAAATGGAAAGACTGTCAAGAATTGGTCGTAGGCCGAATTCGTAGTGGTCCTGAGTGGAGCGGTGGTGAAGATATAGGCAAGTGATGTGGTAGCTCTGAAACTTTCTTTCTTGCTGAAAATTTATCTAAAACGTAAACTTGGAATATGTGTTAATTTCCACTTATAAGTGGCAAAGGAATGGTCGACCGGCTGAAGTGATTTGGTATCAACTCTTCCTTTCGGGTCGTTTATTTTCCCACACAGAGACTTTTTGCTGTATTTATTATTCAGTGGATAGCTCGTCAAGTGCACATGTTATATCAGACATCGGCTCAAAAAAGTATGTTTTACCCTCAGCAATATTGAAAAAACTTTCGGTCGTTTGTTCACCAAGTCGCAGGCACAGAGCCGATGATCAGACTAGATGTCCACACTCCTTCGTACTTTCGATGTGGTGCCTCCGTCGTAGTATCGAGTCGGTTCTTCTTCTGTGGAGCATCAGTCGAATGAGGCAACCTCACCCGGCGATGCTCTTCTTTACAGCACAGATACTGTTGAAATTCTTGTCCAGTAATAATAACTTTCTTTTTCGAGCAGTACATTCTGCAGAAGTTGGCATCATTATCGGTTAGCACATATTTTATTACGTGTTATTATGATTACCTTTATTTTTAACCACTGAGAACTTTGCAGATGTACTCTCGCTCGGTTTATTCCCTGGAACATTCTTAGAATTCAGTATGGATGAAAGGTAGTTTTTCCTAGTTAGTTTTCAGTTTTATCACTTCCTTCATCTTCTTCGTTTGCCATTATTTTTCTATCTGTTTTTATTCTTCTTTTATTCTTCAGATCATTTTTCCAATTCGAAGCCGCCTGGGATAGCTCACTTCACAATTCGCCACTTCTAAATCGAGTGTCAAATTATGGCGACCAGGTTTGTAGCGTAACGGCAGTCTAATCTTTTTTAAAACACATTACCGTGGGTTAATCATTACGTCTATATGAGGGTTCACCTTAATGGTTAGTGATGGAGACCATCAGGAAGTAAGGTGCTCGTTCGACTCCCTCCCCAATACTCTTCTCCAATCCAAGTGGGAACGTCATAGCTGGTTTTTCCCCAAAATTGCAAGTAGAATCGACTCGACAAGCATTCAACGACATTCATAAGGCGAAATACCCATGTAGCAGCAGAAACAACATGCGAATTGTTCGGAGACTTTTGTGGAAGACAAATGCGAGAAGTGCTGGTATCCGTTCAGTACATGTGATGGCAGGTCATGTACATGTGAAAAAAGTCTTGTTAAATGGTTAATAATATAGAGAATAAAATTAAATGAGCAAATCCTTCAACACATTTGCTTAAGTATTGCTTGTACATGCTATTCCACTGTAATCATGAGTAGCTCATGTAGGCTTCAATAGAATCCGTTTCTTCTTTGTTGCGTATAAAAGCTGTGCACAGAAGAATACACTCGATTGAAGGACACAAAGACCATTCCACTTTTTTTTGTGATCTCTTTATTGTTTAACGTTGTTGTTGTGAAATTGTACTGCAGTAAATCTTTCATGGAATAGGTTAATTACTGAGAAGGCTTCCAGGTTTGAGGAACGTCAAATTCCTTTTTGTGACCTGGATGGTTATTCCACTACAGGATAAAATTTCGCCGGTACTGAACTACAGGAACAGTTGAGAACTCTACAGACTTATGCTTACTGTGCTTGAATACTTAAACTGCTCGTTTTCACAAGTTGTGCAGACCACAGCACATTTTCCACTTGTTGCTTTTCCTCGCAGTTGTCGTCCATAGTGGTGGTTCAGTTCAAGCATGGTGATGAGTGAGAGTCCGTCTCATACCGTGATCTGCAAAATACCTACAGCTGCATATACAGATGATTAACTTTGGTTATGAACACGTCTGTAGGTGATCGTCCAATGATGACACTTCCATCTTCGTGAAGTCCATCTGTCGCTTGCTGTTCTCATTAAATGAACGAAACATCTGTGTTTCGCTATCGATGTGTGTTCACTTTTGTCTCGAAGATGAGATATACTTCAAAGATTAGAGCCTTGCATTCCAGCTAGATATTTTTTGTGCCGGTTGTATTTTAGAAGACGTCGTTCAAGCACTCTGTGAGTTGTGCGCAGTATTTCTGACGTGGTTGAAGTATCAGCCAACGTCTCTGCTGCTTAATAGAGTGGTGTTAGTACCGTTGAATTGCTAAGGTTAGTCCGGATTTTTGGGTCTTTTTGTGAGTCGATAACCTTCTTGAGAGGCCCGAATGTTGCCGAAGTTGTTCTATCTAATTCCTTCTTCATGTCGTTCTCCATGTTCATTGAACGCTCAAGCTATACGTTTGAAATAGTTCTTGCAATCAGAGAACCAATCAGTTTGATCTGAGCCCCTTCATACTGTGGGTTTTAGTGAACTGAGCCTTACAATTTGTACGTAGCCCGATTTCTTCCACTTCGTTGAGCTTATTGATCATCGTTTCTGTTTCGTTAATCTCTTCAGAAGATGACGATGTCGTTGTCGAAACGAAGGTTTTATGGGAATTTTGCTTCAATACTTATGCCTTTGTGATCCCAGTCGAGTAAATTCATTACCCACTACAATGCCGAACCAAAATGTTTTTGCGATGTGGTATCTTGTCGAACCCCTTTTCCTAAAGGTATGGTGAAAAGTGGAGGGAATTCACAGTGGTTGGTGATGCCGTTGATCAAGAAGAAAAGGCGCTAGTTCGACTCCCTTCCCCTTCCAATCCACGTAGGAACACTCTGACCTTTTCCTCCTAATCTGCAGAGAGAATTCACTCAAACAGTGCTCTACCACAATCATAGAAGAAGAAGAAATCTTTGAGCAGCAGCCAAAACAACAAGCGAAATGTTCGAAGACCACTGTGGGCGATGAATGCGAGGAAAGCGAATCAAGTACAAGTACTGGGATTCACAGCAAATGCCATCGCCGATCGTACAAAAAAATTTTAAGAGGCCGGCGGAAAAGCTGATTTTTCGTAATGCAGTTTCCATAACAGTCAGGCAGAGCTCTTATGTAGAACGGGTCAACTCTTTAGTCAACGAGCACTGATACTACTGCATTCGTTTTTAGACTTTCAAACGCTTCTTCATAGTTGGGAAAGCTTAGAACAATGGGCACGTGGTATTGCCAACAAACTTCAGTGACTCTGGTCACAGTTTGAATATGGTCCATATAGCAAAGTTCCTGTGGAAATTCTGCTTGCTGAACCGGTTGCTCCTCATCCAATGTCCTTCATGTGCGCGACAAGATAATCTTTATGAAGAGCTTGTGGAATACACTCAACATGCACGTCGGACGATAGCTACGAAGATCCCCTTTTCTAGGTGCCCGCGCGCGATGTCCTCCACTGGTCTGGGTTTTTTTTCCTTCCAAAGGTGGAGTATCACATGATTTGTGAGAACCAAATGTAAATTGTGGCTTCGATCCCAAAGCTGTGTCTTTTTCCATGTTTTCTATCACAACCGGAAGGGAAGAATTTCAGGTGGTTTTCCTCTAGCCACGATTTCAGGGTCTGGGACGGGGATTCTGGAACGGAAAAGGTTGGTGTAGAACGTTTCCGTAATTAATCGTGGCAGGAAGTTTTGGTGACCGCATTTTCGTTCAGCAGGGGTGACATCAGAACGTTATAATCGCACGAGTACCGAAGACTTTTTTGCAAACCAGTACTTTTTTGTGTTACTTCTAGTAGTTTTTTTTTGCATGTACCGATGTCGATCTTCCTGCATAACTCTTTTGAAATTGGAATTCATTAGTAGCCGTGTTTAACGCCCTGCAGTAGGATCAAGCTTCAATTTTTTTCTCCTCTGGGGAACTCCTTTGTGGTAGTACAGAAGCAATCTAATCAAATTGCTTCATACTTGAGAAACTAAGGCGAATTCGACACAACTTCTATGTGCCTCGATAAACAGCTCGTAGCCTTTTGTTGGTCTCCTTAATCTGCCAGTCACGTTTGGATAGGGTTCCGTTCAGAATATTCTCTTCATAAGCAGCTAAATTTTTTCTTCATGGTCGATGGCGTGAATTCTCTTCCAGCTTACGGCTGAATCGAATTTTCGTTCGTTTTATTCTATGGAGTTCTATCTGTGGCTCTTCCAAACCTTTTCGCCAAAGAAGTGATAAGAAGTGAAAGCGGCCATTATTTGCGCATCACCTGTTCCCATGTGAGTACACGTCGTCACGAATTGGTTTAGCTTGGGTGGCTCAACTGGTAATTGTACCTCAGATAACCTAAAACAAACCCTGTTCGTTCACAATACGGTAATCCAGTGATGAGAGGGTGTAGAGAGAACTTTAAATATATGTGTGCGTATACCTTCTTTCACTAAAATTTGCACTGCTTTCAGATTTACATGACATTATCTGCCTACATGGAATTGGAAGGATCCACTCAACCGGCCGTTATTACGAAGGACCTTTGTGTGCTGATATACGCTAGGGACTCGAAAATCTCTGCCGCAAGCAGGTACGTGTCCGAGTTGAAAGAACGCAATTGGGAGAGGTGTCGTTGTGACGGTCTAAAATGTGGTGTCTCAAGGGAGTACACTATAGTACACTATAGTCGTAAGCCTAGACATTTGATACTTTTCTTGCATTCACATTTCTAGTCTCCTTCGCTAGCTATATTTACGCATCATAGGTTATTTTGTAGCAGACATCTCTTGAAGTTAAAAGATACCAGCTTTTCGATTACATGTTACGCTTTTGTATTAATTTCTCTATGAGTTCATTGGGAAAGTTGTTACCATTGCAGATTTTGTCGCTCACTGATCGGTGGAATCTCGAAGTCTCCCGAGATGAATCGAGTGCCAGGCGTATACCAGTTGTGTCTGAAAAATGCTTGCGACTCAGGTAGTCCCGGTACGCTAACCAATGCTTTTGTGCGTAATGTTGCGCGATTAGTCGAACTTCATGAGCTCTGGTCCAAACAGCTTATCTTATGATGTCTGTTTAGGTGCCGTACGTCGTCAACGACGTGTACTGGACACTTCGTCAGCGTATGTTCGTGGAGAAGAGAATCTTGGTCAGTGGCGTCCTCGGGGTGATTCGTTGATTTTCGAGCATCAATGGGAACTTGAGAAGCTTACTCGACTGCAACAGGTGTAGTTAGCCTTTGGCAGCTAGCAATTTCTATGGAAGATGGAAGCCGGAGCTTCCACAAATAAAAAAAAAATTTAACAGAAACTGTAGAGAGGGATAGAATGCCTCTCATACTTGTCGTTTATGCCTCAGTAACTTATGACAATTGAAAAAGGTAATCAAGGTAATAAAATTACAGATGTTCTTTGACGTGAAGAACGGAGGCGCATCGAATTTCCTTTTCTTCCACTGACTTTTTCGTTGAAGAAAAGGTGATAGCAGCGAAAAATGTAATGGCAGTGCTTACCAATCGTTATGAAGTCTTTCTTGGCTTTGATTTTATCCACGGTTGAAATATGATTAAGCATTAAAGTATGGAAGCAAAATTTTATGCAAATCAGTTAGTATCACCCTTTTTTATCAAGTTCTGAACAATAGGAGATTAATCTGCAATACTAAGGATATGTTATATAGGCTATAGCTGCCGAATTGGCATGCAAACTTGACCTATTTTAGTCCTCAAGTTCCTGCGAATTGGTGATAAATTTAGCTTTACAAGTATAAAAACGCAGTGAGCTTGTTGAATCGTTTAGTAAATATACCTTTTCCTCTATTGGTTTTTCACCTGATTGTTGCTGGAGGGTGCTTCTCTGCAGCGAAATGGGATGTCCAGGATGCATCCATCACCCTAGAGGGTCAACCTTGCTATCTAGGAGCTCTTGTCCTTCAAAAATCTAGCTGGAAGTGTTTCGATGTCAAGAATTGCTGCTGTTTTCGTACCAACCTATTTATAAGATGTAAATTTCCCTCTGATACATAAGGACCGTTCACTATCTCCATTGAGGACTTGGGAAAGCCTTAGCATGACAGTTTGAACACTCCAGAAGAAAAAAATCTTGCCTAACTAGCAGCGTGTCCCTTAAATAACAGAGATGCAAGGGTTTCCAAAGATTATTGGTGAAGACGAATCATTTCGGTATTCCATTTGCGACAAAGTGCATTGTATCAGTAGTGGTGGTACCGCCCTGACATAAATAAACTAACAAACAACAGCTTTGAAGATGAAGTAATTTGTTGTTAAATATTTATTATTGTAATGAATTTTAAATTGCACGCCTTTCCACATCTGTTTTGACGGGTTGAAAAAGCGCAAATAACACACGAAAGCTTTCACCTTTCAAAAAATTTTTCAAGAGGTAGAGCTTTTTATATTAATCTTCTAGGTGGAAAGAGTGCGTCTATTTCTTCGCCTACGAGATAAATTGAAAGGGAAAAGGAAAGAGGGTGAGCTTAGAACTCCAGTCTCTCCATGTGCTCCAGTTCGCGGGATTCCAGAATTTGTTAAATTAGATGAGAAGGAAAAAGGTAAGCTTTGATTGCACCACAAAGATTATGCATTACTTGAAAGCAGAAGAAAGTTAGTTTAAAAAGTGGATTCATAACAGGCAACCATCTCAGCATAAAGCTATTCCTATTCATGCATAATCAATTTTAGCTCTAATCTAGACCAATTTCATTTCCGAGCTTAAGCAAAGTGAATTTCTCTCTAACAGACGAATTCATTCTAAAAAATGTTTAGACAAGATGGCGATGACGACGAGATATTAGCTGTAACGAGTTGATGACTCTAACGAGTTGTAAGCTTAAGAATGGACAAAACTGTAAAAATATTTTTGTGGTTGGGATTTTTCGCCAGGGGCCATTGCTTTCACAGGAATGTGTTCCGAATGTTCTGAGAATAATTTCCTACAATTTAAACGGGTAATTTTGGAAAGACATGAGTAGAAAACTGGCCACTTTTCATTAATTTCTGCATGTATTTGGACTTGATACGTTTTATTGATTGTTGTATACATTCTTTTCCACTTCCATGGTTTCTTGTTCCAGAAGACGTCATTCGCCGATTGTGTGTAGGGTTTCATTTTTTAGGTATTGCCAATAAAGTTATCAGCCTTATTATGCAACGAATTCCGATGAATAAAGAATCTCCGACGGGAAACAAAGTGCAGGAATTGAGCGACGAGAGTAGTAGTAACAGCATCACGTCACCAACATCGGACAAGTACGTGCTGGCTTGAGTTCTTGGTCTCGAACCCAAAAGAAGCTCATGATTTCATTTAGTCAGTAGACACTGTTAAAACAAATTAATAATTGTAATAATAAGAAAGGCTAAGCAATGGCCTCGGTTGGTGTGGCGACTTGAGCCTCCAGAAAGAGTAGTCACGGGCTAGAAGCGCAATTGAGGCTCCGAGTTTTCCTTACATCTCAGCACCCTTATGGTTTTATTTCAATGAAAGTTACTTACTTGATACTTGAACGACCCGTCCTCACTGGTAGTGCGGGCCTCAACATAATCTCCATTTCTAGGAGATTTGTTGGTTAAGTCTTTGTGGTTCCCTAGAATCCCGAGGCCAGTCTGGCCACTGGCACTGGTTTACTCTTAGCTAGGCTTCCATTGAAGCGCCTGAGTACATCGCATTCCGACACCCAGGAACACCTCCCAGCCACGATAAAACGATAAACCGTTGGGAGGCAATGAAAGTTAAGCATTGTAAAAAGATAAAATGATAAAGCTCTTGACGTTGATCAATCACTGAGGAAGGCGCCATGCATTCGACTTTATTAAGCATCGTCTGGAGGTAATGGAATGCATATTTGGCCTTTACAACGACTTGCGGTGACCTACCGATGTACCAAGCCAGTGCTGCTATCCTCCAAGACAAGTCTGATACCAATTTTCCGACGCCGAAGTGATGGAAGGCTTGGTGGGCCATGGGCGCTGGATCCGATTCCGCGTGTGTGTTGCAGGGCGCCTTTGACCACTGCGCCATACGCGCCCAAAGTTCGTGTGAAAATTTACTGCGGCTTACGTTCACTAGATGCGATGGAAACATTGTAATGATGATTGTATTTGGTATGCATGTTGTTCATTGATGCCTTAGAACCGATATAGCGCTCTTCTATAACACCAGTGGGCAATTTTATCTCTATCTTTTCCTAAATCCCATTTGTCGAGGGATGCCACTAATTAGCAAAACTTGGATTGTAGCTATCCTTTAAGCATCATTAGTACATTATATGAATTTCGTGACATGTTCAGTGACATTCCAGCTAGTTAGATTCTGCGTTGTCTCATTGAAACAAACATCAGCAATAAGGAGCTTTGGAATTATTTTGGGCTTTTTTAGAAGAAATTTAGAATTTTTAGAAGACGTTTAGAATTTTTCTTAACTTAATCTACTATTCGATTTGAACACTTTATGATCTTAACCACTATATATGGTTTTAGAGACTGGAGAATGCTGCTAGTAGTATATCATTTAGCTCAATAATGAAGTCTTCCCCATCACTGGATCAACTAAGTCGGCAGAAATCGAAGTCCGACCAGAACCTCAGCTATGTTGATGAGGTTCTTGATCAGTTGGCACTAAAGCGAAGTCTGAGTGGTTCAAGACTTCATCAGCTTAACATACTTATTCCAGAGGTGAGATCTGCTTGGTAGTTTCACACTTCCGAAAGCACCGCCCTCTTTTTTTGTTGCATATGTATTAGATTCAAATGCATACTTTATGCTTACAGGTTACGGAGGAACGTGTAGGTATCGTTGTGTCGAAGAAGGGATATATGAATTTCCTTGAAGAGAAGACGCAAGGATGGACGAGGCGCTGGGTGGTCGTTCGCCGTCCCTATATTCTGCTGTTCCGTGACGATAAAGACCTTGTTAGTTCTGGTTCTAAAAGAAAATGTATTTGTTCAAATTGTTTTAAAAATGACTCATAAGACTGAGATGTGGATATGAACGCAAAGAAATCGTATGTTTTCCGTTAGCAATAGTTTACATACTGTTTTAAAAATTCTCCATTTCTTCACATCTCCTAAATATGAAATCCGTCTCATTTGAGCAGCTTCTGAGATAGTTGCAGCGTTACTTAACGTATGTTTAGTATATCATAAGCATCTACTGATAATTTAGGTGATTCGCGGTATCATTAATCTTGCCAATGCTCGTATTGAATATTCTGAAGACCAACAGGCGATGCTTAAAGTACCAAACACATTCTCGGTGTGCACGAATCATCGTGGTTTTCTAATGCAAATCATGCCTGGTGATGAGGTATGTTTTTTCCCTAACAATGTCTTATTTATGGATATCGTGCAGTTATATATGTATCTCATATTCACGCATGTATGCCCAAATCTAGCTGCGTCTATGGGACGTCTGCCTGCAACATCATTTCTGCATAACTTCTAAGAAGAGGCACGGGAACTGCAGCAGTAGTGAACTTGAGTGATATACGCATAGTCCTAGTTTGAACTCACTTTGAGCCTACCAAATCTCCATCCCTCCGGGATCGGAATGTTGCTACCATATAGTATGAGCAAAATTCTCTTCGATCCACGGAGACTGGCCACTGCTTGTGACGACGACCGGAGAACGCTGCAGCACGTCTACATAAGGATTCTAGGGAAAATGAACTCAACCAGCATACAAGAACATTCATGAAGAGCACTTAGCTTTAATTAGCAGCTGATTTTCTATTCAAAAAGTTCGAAGATTTTCATTAATAATGTGTGCGAAGAACGAATGCAGTCTGAGAAGTTCTGGGTTGCCCATCTGTGGTGTCTGCTCGTGAAAAAGTTGTGTATAATCAGATAGCTGGACAAGTGATCCCATGTCTACTTTAGAAGATCTCAATAAGCTATCGTAAGTATGTGTAACTATAACAAAGATCAATGAGCAACCGACTGGTATCGTTTTGCGAGAAGCAGTAAAAGAAGGAAGGAGACCATGAATGTGAGAGGTATAGGTAGAAACGAAAACGCTAGGCTCACTTTCAAATTGGCCAAGCAGCTTAAAAGTGAATTCCCCACATAAAAACAGACAAGATGCTCAAAAAATACTTTTGTTAGCTAGAGCATTTTATTTGTGCGATGAGGAATTGCAAGCTTCACGACCACAGTAAATTACAAAGCTCTGAAGAAATCCATGCAAAACTTACTTTCTTTAAAACTTATTTTTTTGAAAATTTCACCGAAATGTTTTTTCAAAAAATAGAGTCCATCGCCTCATTTTTGAAGCTGCCATTTCAAAGCTTTGCTTTTCGCACCACACGCTGTGAATTGAAATGGATTTCTGCTAGCCGATCGTGTTGTACACCCACGCGTCCATTCATTCGTGCTACTTTGTCGACACAAGAGCCACTTAGTCGTCGCGGAAAATACAGCCGTTATCTCCCAGACAATGCTGGCACCAATCTGCCGACTCCGGAAGGATGGAAGGCTTGGTGGGCCATGGACGCTGGGATCGATCCTATGTGTGTGTCGCGGGGCTCCCCCGACCACTGTGCCACACGCGCCCCATCCTTATCCTCTGCCCATTAACATTTTTCGCCCTATCTTTATACTCTCCCCATTAACAACATTTTTCGGGTGTTAAATTTTCCAAATGTAACTGTAAACAGTAGGTTTTCTGGTTCATTTTCTAGTGTAGTAATGATGTTGGTTAAGCTGTCGAGAGTGCAAGAGGTACTGTGGAAAAATGAATCCCTGTAAGGTAAAATCGACGGTCAATTAAGTTTATATTAATTCACGCTGGTCGATATTCCTCTTCTCTCATTAGTGATAGAAAATCAACTCATGTTGGAATCTTGCATGTTTGCAAAACTCCGGAGTTCCGGGTCTTTCGTTTTGCCTGTCTCTCAGCTAGTTCTATTGATGGTGTGGTAGTGAACGCGTTACTCCCCGGAAAGTACAATAGCGCGCATTCGTTCCCCACCGCATACACCTGCGGTCCCGAGTTTTGCAAATATCTCAGCATCATCGAAGTTATTTTTCTCATTATACTCTGCTATTAAAAAAAAGAGTAGGCAGTAAGTAATAAGTTAAACTCAAAATTCAAGCTCAGTCCTAGATACAGAATTTACAAAATAGTTACATGTATTTCAGATGTACGACTGGTTGTACGCCATAAATCCGCTTCTAGCTGGCCAAATGAAAGTGAAGGCATCCGCAAACGGAACGCTTAAATCAGGAATTTAGTCGTTGAACGTAGTTGGCTTTCGATTTTAAGCTTCTACTGGTTTGCTCTGCTTAGCCAAAAGGGTATCTTCTTCAAGCTATCATTATTCTTTGATGACTGTGAGGCTGAGACGATTTTACCGTTGTTGCTGTATATTTTTTTCTCGAATCTTTTTCTTCTATGCCATAGGCCTAGTTGACCTTTTTATTTGTTGTCAGAGTTCTTTTCTTGTTAGTAGACGGTAAAATATATCCGTAGATAATAAGCTGTTTACAAAATTATCTTATTAAAAACGTTCGGTACTATACGCGTATTAGATCAGCAATCGCTGAACATGTGAAGTGTCCATTATATGTTGCCAATTTCACTGGTTTTCGGTCTGTAATTGCAGACCGTGATCTCTTTAGCTTCAGATCGTTCTAGTCCATAGGCGCCTGCCTTTCCTAGTCAACATAAATGGTCTCTTATATCGTTGTTTCTCTTCTTGTTTTTCATCTTACCTACTCTCTTTTCCACTCTCTTTCTTTTCAGAGCTTTTGTGTGTAACACAATAGAATTCATGACATGCACGCATATCTCTAATGAACTATTCGCCTGCAGCGTTCCTTTTTTCCCATTTCAAACCACTACAACTCTACGAACGTTTGAAAGTGCGAATGAGTTATGGACCCTAGGGCCATTTTCTTGACTGCCGTTACTATCTACTTGAAAGTTCAAAGACTAAAAACACTGCTTTTTGACGATGGTACAGAGATTAGAAAGCGACGGCATTTAAGTAGATTAGAAGAGCAAGTAACGCAGTGGACTGATCCAGTTCATTACACGAATGGCTCGATCTGCCAAGCTCCTGTTCGACCTTACTTCTAGCCAAGCCTATCCTCTCTAGGAGGTCAGGAGATTGGCACCAGCTTTCTCTGAGACAAGGTTAACCCCTCTAATCGACGTGGAAGTGCTCCAGCACAGCTGTCCCAGTATTTGAGAGAGGAATCGACTTCACCAGTAATCACTGACATTCACGAAAAAGGCAAAAATCCTTAACAAACAGCCGAAGCCACATGCGAAAAAGTTAGGGAACTTCTTCGATGGTTTATGCAGGAAAGGAATCGAATCAAAGTGGTAGGATCCGCACAATATGGGTCATATGATGCCGGCTCATATAATAAAATAAATAGTTTAGAAATATCTTCCATTCAGATGTAGCTGATGACATTCCTGATGTATTCAAGCACGTACATTTACTGATTTAAATCTAATCCGAATCTATTTCGCAATCCTGTTGTAACTAAATTAATACCTTCTTGAGCGTACACGATTTTGTTAATAGAGCCCGGAAGCGTCAAATTAAGTATTCGATCTACTCAGTCAAATAGTATCATAACCCAAGCAGAAAAACTCAATGCATAAGTTTTATTCCCACAGTAAGCCGCGTTTTTTTAAACACTCACCATCCCGTTCTTTATAACTCCGCTGGTTATTGTTGGAAGGCAACCTCACAGAGTCTCACATAGGTTAGGAATGCGCCTTGGCTTCACTAATAGTAATGCAAGAAGATGTTGCATAATGTTAGATAGTGATATATGTCCTTTGAATTTATCACCTGCACAAAAACATCGGCCTATTTTTCGAGCAGTGCTGGGGTTCTCACTTCTCAGTCAATCAAGCAAAGTGGTTGGTTAAGATTGTTTCCGATTTTGACGGTCGCGTTGTAAGGAATGAAGTGCTTGCCATTTTTAGAAATGCAAGGGCAAAGCGAATTTAAGTGGAGGAAAAACTGCCTAGGAAAAAGAAAAATCAGGATTAAAAGGTGCTGTAGTAGTAAAAGAAGTGGCGAAGTAGACAGGAGACAAAAGACACGAAGAAGCCGGTCCGTAACAATCGACGAAACAAAAGAAAAAACACCCAGGTAGAGATTTAGGCGAAGATTATGGAATTACGTTATTTTTAGTTCGTAATCTTATATATCTATATCTATACTGTATATACGTATGTATACATATATATTATGCGTATATATATTTGCATATATATATATATATATGTTATATATATATATAAGGCCCGTGCAACAGCGTAGTTAAGGTGCTGCACAATATACACTGAATCGGACTCTAGTTCGATCCTGCGGCCTGTGACCATCAAGTCCTCGATTTCTCCGAGATCGGCAAATTGGTGCTAGACTTGTCTGGGATGATAGCAGCAGTTACTTGATATATCGCTAGACTACAGGGGACATTTCATAGGCTAGATATGCATTCAATCCCCTCTGACGACATGTATTAATCACAGATGAGGTTCCGTCGGTTTCTACAGTGTCCAGAAAACACCTCACAAGCGAATCAGAACGACTGGATGCGGTCGAGATGTCTGAGTATAACATCAAAAAAAAACGAATCCAGATCGCCATCGAAAGACCGAAGTTTTGGGTAACCGTGTTGAATTAATAAATAACACGTAGTTGAACGATTCCAGTCTATAAATATAAAATTCAATTCAACTATGGCATTTAACTTGCCGGATTTGTCGAAAACTCTATCTTTAGGTGAGAGAGTAAGTTTTATGTGTGCTTGTTTTTTGCTAGGTTTTCGTTAACGGAAACTAACTCTTGGCTGACTGCCCATTCGTCTTTTACGTGGATGCCTAGGTGACATCGTCGTAAATCATGCGACTTCCACCAACTCCTCTATTCCATTAAATGTCTTGAAGCCGCCATCCATTAAGGTGGTCAACAACGTATGCGGCTTCGGCAGCAACTTGGGACACTGCCATCTTTCCTCATCAAAATTTTAATGTCGGGCGGGAGTGAAAGTCCCTCGAAGCCCGGGATACCCATGCTATGTCGTTCTCAGATCGTCATGAAAAACAAATGACGACTAGAACCATAAACCGATCACGACTTTTATAGATCGAAAGGGATATTGCTGCGGTGTGAGTCAGATTCTGCCAGGGCAACAGAGATTCACGGATGACGCAAATTCTACGATTATCTTGATCGACATCTCAAAGTCTAGTAGTACTACAACAAAACTTTAAACCTTACAGTGATACCATTTCTCCAGAGATGTTAAAATTAGCCACCTCGGTTGTTAGACGATAACGATTGCTTCCACTTTGTTTTTTTTACACTTACAAAAAAATCCTCCCTTGAAATTGCATCCAACTACATATATACCCAAATATACGTTGGCTTAGCTCTCTAAGCAAAAGTTCTTGTAACCATGTTTTTCCTTTTATTTTCAGAGAGCCTGGCGTAATATCGACACTAATTCACTAAGAGGATTCCTTCTTTCTCTTCCACCATTTTCATGGTCATATTTTCATATTTTCATGGCACTCTTCGTTTATTGTAGTGTGAAAAGTGTGTTCTTATTGATTACATTTGGCATGGTAAGTCATCATATTTTGCTCCAGACAACAAAGCATTCTTCTTAATAATTTCAATTCCCACGAAAGTAAACGGGCGCATGTAGTGCAGTGCTCGGAAGCGCCCAGCAACACACACGTGGAATCGATTTCCGCGCCCATGGCCCACCAAGCCTTCCATGCTTCCTGGGTCGGCAAATTGGTACCAGACTTGTCTGGGATGATAACAACACTGGCTTGATACATCGGTAGGCCACCGCGAGTCATTGTAAAGGCCAGATATGCATTTAGTCACCTCCAACGATGCTTAATGAAGTCGAATGCATGGCACATCTCTCAGGGTTTGATCAACGCCGAGAGCTTTATCTTTCATTTCTTTTATCCCACGGGGTAGGAACTATACAGTTATTCGTAACTTTGAAGTACTTGCTTCACTTGGGAGAGCGCGATAAAGCTAGTAGCCGGATTACATGAACCGTTCCCAAGCTCGGGATGGGCCATTTCAGCCCATATGCGATCGTACAATTTTCTGTAGGTATAGGTATAGCTGGATTCACTCGACTGAAATTTTGAGAGGTTTTCATATGACTTCATTTTCTAATAGTAAGCAATGTGCCTAAAAGAATGTGGTATTTGACAACTTAATCTACTGGATGAGTAAATTAACAAATTTTCCTCTGCACCGCCACTTCACTCATGAACGACGAAGCGACTAAAATAGGTAATGTGTATTGTGAAGTTGATAAACTATTTCATTACCTTCATCTTCATTATGCTCCCAACGAGTTGCCGCCTCATCTTAGCTGAGAGGTGTTCTTAGACGTCGGGCTGTGATATACAACGGAGGGATTCGTCCTACATCAGGGTCTCACAAGCTTAAAATAAGTCCGCGTTCTCATGAGGAGGTCTAGCTATAAGTTAACCGATATCAGGATTCACCATCTTTCGGCTTCCGCTCAATTGAAAATTATCAAAGGCTTTACGCTGCCTTTGTTTGTACTATTTTTAGAGACAGAACATCATCGGGTAGCTGGTTCGCCTATGCCGTGAAAGCTTAGCGTACCGAAGATTTTGGTTATCTTAGACACGGGTGGCCGTCCGACCATTCGTTATGACAGTCAACAGCTACATTCTATATTATAATCACCAGCTGTTCAATTGCCCGTTTGTGGGCGAACGTACATAGACCATTTAGTGTATGTTTAACTACCAAAGGAGATCGTGGGTAGGCTTACGACTAAACGACTGTGGGAAAGATATGCCATTTGACGGAATCGACTGAAAAACTAAGCTGTTGTTTAGTCTATATGTTTCAATCCATCTGTAGAAAGTGCTATCCAGTTAATTACCAGGTAACTCAAGCACTTATCAACATAACCCTTTTGTAATGTTACTTTTTCCACTATTTGTCATGAAGAAACAACCACGAGTGAATAACAGCCGGGTGTTAAAGAATAAATAGCAACGAAATGCCGACAAAGGATCGGAATTATCTTGGTGGGATTATGAAAGAGATAATCTTTTTTCTTTCAAATATAACTCTTCCATTCATATGACACACCGCTGGTGTACTTGTCGTGTTTTATGTTAATACAGAGTACTACAGTTGCTGTCACGGCGAGCGAGCGCTCTGCATTAGTCCACATACTGCATTAGCAAT